ATTTTCCATAAAGTTTGACTAAAGGTAGTCGAGGTCGAGGAACTCGAATCTGGAGTTAGTTTTTAAAATTTTTTTCGGATTAATTTTTTACACAAAGAATCCATTTTTTACAAAACTTTTTTATGTAAGGACTGACCGAAGGGTAATTGAGGTCAAGGAACTTGAATCTGGTGTTAGTTTTTTAAAATTTTTTCAAGGATGATTTTTTAACATGAAGAATTACTTTTTCCCACAGAAGTTTTTATTATAAGGGTTGACCGAAGGTGATCGTAGTCGAAGAATTCAAATCTGACTTCTGTTTTATTGAATTATATAAATTAATGACTTGGTAGTTGTTGAGTAACGCGATTTTTACAAGAAAGAGCTGAGCAAGTCTTCAGGCGGGCGTTAATTGTGATGTATTGACTAATCGTACTAATAAAATATATTGTTATCGTTTTAGGAAGCAGAACAGCTATGGTTCAAATTAGTTCTGCAACGGCGATCAAAGGACAAACAATAATTTTTGTTTTTATTATTTCTATTCTAGCGTTTTATGTTTATTTTTATTTTAATGTAATATATTTTTGTTTGCTTTTTTGCTTTTTTATTAATATAATAAAGATAGTGCTTATAACATATTTTTGAGTTGGGATGAAAAGAGGAGCAAAAAGCTGAAAATTGAGATTTCTGCGTGCTTACCTAATTTTCGAGAATTTGAGATTTTTGAGTGGAATGTAAAGAGAGATGTAACAATTTATCGTTCTCTTGATAAACTCAAAATAAAATGTTTCGTTTATCATAGTGCTAATAAAAATGAAATTGCGAGTGTTTCTATAGTGTGCCAAGAATAAATCGGAAGAACTCAACTATCATAATCAATTTTAATTTTACCTTTTATGCTTTCATCTAGTATATATCTTTGTTCGTATTTGAAACCAAAAAGAGAATGAATCTTGCTCATATTTTAGGTGTGGTTATACTTCGCAAAACAGTTTTTTTTCTATGTTTAAAATTTAATTAAGTGCTTTTACTAGACATTAGCTAAAATGAATCATTGACCGACTTGGTCGGACAAAATCTTAAATCAATATTGAAACCACTTTTTCATTCTTCAGATCACAGAGTATCATATCCTGAAACACTCGACTTACTCTGATCTTCTGCAATTATTTGCAAAAATGAGTATATATTTTAGTAGAAGTCTGTCATATATATTTCGATAATGAATATTGTTTTCTCATGATTAGAGCGTTTGTATCAGTTAGAAAAGGCATTAATTCATACTGGTGATTGTTGATAGATTTCTTATTTAAAATATGTTTGACTCAAAAATATCATGAAAATATTTTGAGTAATAAAGTTTGATGAAAAGTTCTTGTTTGGTAACAATAGGAGGGAAACCACTATCCATCTTTCTAATTTGTTTTTCTTACAAAACATATTATTATACAGCCAAAAACATCGTTTCCGTCAGAAATATATATTCTATCAGATGAACACTAACTTAAAATAGAGACGGAACACTGAATAACATTGTTTGCTCATTACAATATTCTTTCCAGTTTATTTATACTTTAACTAAGTAGCTAAAGCATATGAGAAGACGATGTCGTCAGCTGGAATCTCTGTGATCAAACAAATCGAGATATCCCTAGATTGTGAAAAACAAAAATTCTATATACTATTTCAATTTTTATATTCTTGTAAAAAGTGTTAATTAATTTTCATTATCTGAAAATGCATTCAAAATTATGGATGACGATACAATGAGTAGATTTTTTGAATATTTCTACAAAAAACCTAGTTTAAATAAAATACTACGATTAATCAAGACTTTCATATTGAATAAAATGCAATAAGTAATTCTTTAAATCTTTGTTAAGTTTAAAATATTTTTATAAAAAAAGTATTTGAATTTATCGATTGATGATGTGGTATACACTCAACTAATCTATACACAATCGAATTAATCGAACACGTGTCACATTTATTGCTTATTCTTTTCGCTTTCTCATACTTTTTTCTTTATTCTTTGCACGTCCTTCATTCTATCGTTTTTATAATATCACATATGCTTCTAATACACACAATTTATTTACAAACTGCAATAATAAATAAAATAATTTAATAGTTTAATCAGTGCATATATAGTAAAAACCGCTCAAAAATCAGCGTTTTTATTACTCTTAATATTTTTATGCATATTCAATTGAAGAAAATGCTTTTGTCCTTCAGATTTTAAAGAGCTCCTTTTTTGAGTATTTCTGAAAAAAAAAGATTATAAATTCGACCGATAACTCAGTATGTAAGGATTAAATAATGCATATTTATTTTATTTGTATTAATATTAACATTTTCTGGTAGGGTTTAAACTTTCTTTCAAGAAAATGATCGTTAAATAGAGCTTCACAACTTTTAAGAAACTTATAATATATATGCATACAAACTATCAATATGCTTAGGTAAAAGAAACTTTGTTTTTTAGTACTCAATCCAAATGATATGTTCGAACTATTATCTTTTATAATATAATTTAGAAACATTTTTGAATAACAATATATTGTGACTATTGGAAGTAATTTCTTATTGTATGTATCATTTAAATAAAAAAAAGATCAATCAAGAAATCTTCCTCTGACAAACACTTGTTATCGTAATTTTTATATTCGTAGTCACGGAAACGTATAGTACGATACTGATCCATTTCTAAACATCGCAAAAAAAATTGATCAAGTATTCAAATCAAATGAAAGAAAAAGACATAAACGATACATTCTTTTATTCAATCGTAATCTTCTTCTACAAATTAACAAAATTTTAAACATATTAATTAGTTGTTCGACAAAATAACACAATAACCTTTCTAATGTAATCTTTTTACTCAACGCATAAAACAATACAGATAAATAAAAACTACATTTGTTTCTTTTGCTTTTGGTTTATATATATGTCGAAATCATCAAGAAAAATAATATTATGTTTTTCACATTAATAATCGATAAATCTATATTTATGAAAAAATATTTTAATACACAAAATATCTAGAAAAAGGGTGTGGGTGTAGATTTTATCTTCTTTTCATATCCAGACCGACACTCATATCCTTGATAATCATAATATTTATTAAGATTAAAAACAGCTCTTATATTTTATAAAAAATTTTAATCAAAAGATTATTTTTCTTATGTGAAATAGAATTATATTGGAAAAACAAATTTTATATAGAGACGAGATTCTACTTAAAATATAAAATTGTACAAAAAAAATGAATAGAATATATGTTGCATTTTAATTAGAAGCTTGATGTCTAATATAATAAATATACAAAATAATTGATATAAATCAGAATCTATTTCGTTTTTTAAGATCAAGTATTAAGAAAATAAAACCGATATTAGAGAGAACAGTAGGTTTATCTACGAATAAAATATATTTTCATTCGAAAGCTCTTCTGGTTTTAATTATATTAAATTGGTATAATGATTACATTCAAGTTTTAATTTATCATTTGATAAAACGTATTGAAATCTATCTTCAGTACAAGCGTAAAGACGCTCCATAGAACCTTTGTCGAGACATTTGCTTTTTACAGTATTTTGTAGGACAACATCATAATCCTTCTCGAATTCACCCGAAAAATCAACTTTCGAATTTCGATTTAAAACTTTGCACAGAGAAATATCTCAATGATACTACTGAAGTCTGAAAGTTTCAAATTCCTTGGCTGTCTTTATTCTTAAATATGAATATTTAACATGTTGTACTATAAGTCATGTGAAAAAGTATGTTTTCGTCTTATACTCATATATTGGGATAAAAGCAACCTAAAAATTCGAAAATTTCAAAATTAATTAGTCTCTTTACGACCTTTCCTCAAGAAAATTTTCAAGCGAATCTCAGGAGCATCATGGCTCTTCATTAAAAAAATGAGATATTTCGACAGAATAATTCATAAGCACGAACTCTATTTTAATATTTAAAGTTCATTAGAATCTGCATAATGCATATAGTCTCGATTCAAAAGTGATGCGACAGTTGGGAAATGTTCCTGATTCTCTTTTTGAGTCCACTGTGAATCGCATCCTTGTCCTTAAAATCCTACAACATATCCACTATTATCTAATAAAGTGATTTTCAAAAATATATTTATTCAACTACCATGAAAATGAATGAAAATTTATGTGCAAAAGTGTGTTATTTTTTGTCCGTAATGTAGTAACGTAGAATAAACGTGTTTTTGTACCATTCGCTTCAGCATAGACGTTTCAATAAGAAACAAAATATATTAGTATTGCACAATCGCAAACCGATATACATATGTATAGAAGAAAAACAAATAAAATTACGAATATTGGCCTAAATGCAGTTTGCTTACTTCGAATTCAACGGATTGAAAATTAGTCTTAAAAACTCATACCTCATTGGTGCCCAGGTTCGACTCCTGGCGAAACAGCAAACGCGCGATCCAATATTTTTTTTGTCTCGAGAATTTACATGAAGGTATAGTGACTTTTGATTAGAGATTTTACTGCATTGACAAACAGTATATTTTCATTGTTAGTCAAATAAATCTGCTATTGATTACCGATTGGAGTGTAATCATTCGATTTAATTAACTTTAATCACAAGTACTTTCTTCAGTAAAATTAATAATATTCATCATTTAGTAAATAGTATTTGACATTTACTTAAACTACCATTTTTTTATGTGAAATGAACTTTAAAATATGTTAATTTAAACAATAAATAATATGCATTTAGTTTGGCATTTTATTATTGATTTATTCAAATAAACTGTTTTCTTAGTAGCAAAACATGACTATTAAGCGACTTTGTATAAACTTATAGAATTTGCTTCATCTAATGTAAATCTTCGTAAACAGATGAATAAAAACAAAAACAAAATTCACATTTTTATATATGTAAAATGTGAATGAAAAGGTAAAAAAGCATATGATATTTTATAAGAAACTTGGAAAAAACTATTCTGGATTAAAATTGTATAAAAGTAAAGTAATTTATATTCCAGATGCAATACAAGCTACATCAAGTCCACATCGAGTTGATTTCACATCTGTACACCATTTAGAATTTTTTAGCTCATCACCAGCTGTTTTCCATTGTTTTTGAACTAATGCTCTTTTCATTTTAACGAATTGATTGAGTGTACCACATCCTGCAAATGCGACATCGATCAAAGCTGCATGAACACTTGTTGGCATTCCTGGAGCATATCTTGAAACGCATTTAGTAGCTTCAGGATAGTTAATATTGTTAAAAATATCCGTTGCTTGAGCTTTAGTAAGACATGCATTCTTTGTACGCTTTTGACAGTCTTGGAGAACATCATTTAGTTTCAGTTTGTATTTAATCATAACACGAGCTGCATCCGAACGTTTTAAATTGAAGCCAACACCAATAGTTGGAATACCTTTTGTATCGTTATAACAACATGTACATATTTTTTCGTTGCGTATTGTTTGACTAGGACTGCAATTACTAGCAGCACCGATAATTAGTAAAGAAAAAACGTATAACACTCGCATGATGAAATGTTTTTACTTATTTCATTGAATAATGCAAGTTTATATAGTCAACGAAGTAAAAAAACTCCGTCGCTTCCTTCTTTTCTTCTTATGAGGCCATATTTTATCTATACCAAATACATGCAGCAATGTATAGAATGATTTATCTAGTAAAGTGGCTAAAGATCAAAAAGAAAATGTTGAGAGTGAAAATGTCGAAAATAATAATATCACATATACTCATTGGTTTTATTAATGAGAATCTAAGCAAACAAAAGCACAAGTAAAAGACAGAATGGGTGTGGATGTTCTTCTCATTCAACACCCACTTTTTTTCAATGAACTCAAGTCAACAAAATGATTAAGATATCTATGAGATTTTGAAGAGAATGGAAAAAGAGAAAAAAATAAAGATAATTTTTTTTAATGTTTTTTAGTGTAAAAAGAAGTTAAACAAAAGTATAGATAAATACTTATTGAATAATTTAAGAGAAGAGGAAGAGGAAGAGAAAGGTAAAAAAGCATATGATGTTATATAAGAAAGTTGGAAGTTTTTCTTTCTTGATTAAAATTGTATAAAAGTAAAATAGTTTATTTTCCAGATGCAATACAAGCTACATCAAGTCCACATCGGGTTGATTTCACATCTGTACACCATTTAGAACTTTTTAACTCATCACTAGCTGTTTTCCATTGTTTTGCAACTAATGCTGCTTTCATTTTAACGAATTGATTGAGTGTACCACATCCTGCGAATGCAATATCAGTCAAAGCTGCATGAACACTTGTTGGCATTCCTGGAGCATATGTTGAAGCACAACTACTAGCCTCTGGATAGTTACCGTTGTTAAAAATATCCGTTGCTTGAGCTGTAGTAAGACATGCATTCTTTGTTGACTTTTGACAGTCTGCAAGAACATCAGTTAATTTCAATTTGTATTTAGCCATAACGCTAGTAGCATCCGAACGTTGTAAATTAAAGCCAACACCAATAGTTGGAATACCTTTTGTATCGTAATAACAACATGTACGTGTTCCTTCATTGATTTGTGTTTGACCAGAACTGCATTCACCAGCAGCACCGATAATCAGTAAAGAAAAAACATATAAGGCTCGCATCATGAAATATTTTTACTTATTTCATTGAATAGTTCAGGTATATATAGTCAACAAGGTAAAAAAGACTCCGTCACTTCCTTTTTCTCTTCTTATGGGACCATATTTTATTTTTACTAAATGTACTCAACTATTATAGAATGATTCATGCCTTTTCGTTGACATATTACACAATAAGCAAATATAACGAATAAATGGTTTGTTTTGATATTGTTTGCGAACTTGTAAAAAAAGAGAAATAATTTCTTATTCATTACGACTATTGCAATAATAAAATCATTCAACATTCATATTCGCATATAAGTAAAATATCGGCGAAAACAAGAATGCGTCATAAGTTAATAGTCACCATATTTATTCGGTCATGATAAATATCGAAAGCGACGATTTAGGAAGTAATACTACTTTTCGTTTCATATTATCAGTCTATTGGAATAAATAACATGAATAAAAAATATTTATTCTACTGTATGTTATACAATGAAAAGATAAACTTTGAAAGAAGCAACTTGATTTTTTTATAGAGTGACTTTTATTGAGGAAAATTAGATAATAATGTTAGAGTTAAACTATAACTTTCAATATGCGTATACATACATGAATGTGTTATTTGCATGATATGGTTTTAACTTTAATGTTCAATAGAATTCTTAGTCAATGTGAGATTATTATACTATATTTAAATATGAGTTATCAAACTTTGTTTGAACAATTTTGAATTTATTCAATGATAATACCAATAAAATAATGTCTTTCGTCTCATATAAGTTCTAACTATCACAAACACTGAAAAAAAGCAAGAGATTGATGCTAAGATAGGACTTAGAAATATCATATGAACATCAGTATTACAATAAAACTTGACATTGTAGTGTTCATTTTCTTCAATCCGGATTAATACTAAGTTATTAGCATTAAATTAGCATTATTTTTAAGAGCTATTCTATATAAACCACAAATTACCATCACAGACTCCTCAGTAATCCGAATCTTATATTTTGTGAAGATTATTTCAAATTGTAGAATGTATCAGATTTTATAGAAATCACAATCTCAACTTTAGCTATATATTTTTATAAATATTATCACATGACAAAAGTCTACTGATAGAAAATATCAAGTTAAAAATATTTCGCCATTAATGTATGTTGGTGACCATCTTAGAATACGATCGATCAGTTTATGTCACATTTTCAAGGGAATTGATCGATTGTGCGCATTTTGAAGTTATTTTCAGATTTTTAAAATGATATTTTTACTTAGAAAATTTCTTTTGTCCTTATAAGTGTTTTCAAGATAAAAATGCTTTAGAAGCTGTTTGAAAATTTCTATGAGTGTTACTGAAGGTGAGTTAAAGTATTTAAATTGATTATAAAAGCGATTCTATGTTTTTTTGTCTATGTCAACGGTTTGTAATGTTGGCATAAATTATTAATACACGGGTTAGACTAAACAATTAGAATAAGTATTGTCAACTTTCTATACTCTTTGTGAAGTATTATAGAAATCGAGAAGATTAAATTATTGAAATATAAAAACTAGGTAAGACAGCAGACAATTATATTTAGATATTTTTTCTTTGTAAACTTATCAATAATTTAAACGTTTTCTTTTTATATATCGATATTTCTAAAAAAAAATGAATTATTGAGTACAAAAGAATTCATTAGATAATAGCATAAAAATATTTTATTTATAAGACAACCAGGTTAACTATTGATAAAGTAACAACAAATTTTCAGTGCAAATGATAACGATAACTTTATAGAAGACGAAAAAAAGAAGATCTTCATAGACAAATAAACAAAAATCTATCAAGGAAAAAGAAACTACTACACCTATTCCATAATATTCATATTAACAACCATGAAAAATGATATAATTTGTTTTTATCATTTGAATCAACTGAGACAGTGAAAAAAATTGATAAAAATCCTCAGCTAATTTTTCATAAAAAATTTAATCAAACTATATAGCCTTGATTGAAAACCGATACATTTGTCGATCGTAAATAAAAAAATTTCAATACATCAACTTTGTTATCTTCTTTTTTATCAAATAGTGACTCGATGCGCACGAACAGTAGAAGAGAAAAGGCCTTCAATGTCGTTCTTTTTATTTTATCTTACACGTTGTATATGACGTATTTACTACAAATACTGATACTTATCGAACGTTTTCATACGAGGTCAATGTATATATTGGAAAAAAAATGATCGTATAACTTAATCAACAAAACATAAAAATTTTTTTTAAACAAATTGATAAATAGAAATTTTATAGAGAAGGTTATCTTCATCTTTTTTTGTGTCGTATATAGAGAATGTTTTATCAGTTGTGTCTTTTTTTTTTCATTCTTTTTGTCCAACAATCATTTTCACGTTTTACGTCGATTCATTTACAACCTAACGAGGTAACTTTTTCAACTTTAATACCTATTCGCTTTTGTTTTATCTTTGTCTATATGTCATGATGTTTTCTTTTGTTGATTGTCTATATGAATATATATATATATATATATAAAGAATAAAAACTTCCGCTCTTTGTTGATTCTCGAAAAATTCTTTAGTAAACTAACTCGACCAACTATCTATTCTCTTTTCTTTCTCGTCTGCATTGTAAAAATGCAACTGTGGATGTATGTGAAGCAAATCGTGAGTAGAAAACTATTTTTCTTCTATTCCTTTTTTTTCTGTATTTTCGCTGACGTATTTGCTAATAAAATCGCCTCCGTCGTTTCCAGATGAGACAAGGCTGTAGCTTGTCTTTTTCTTTTCTTCTTCGTTTTTTTTATTTCTCTCATCGTAATTCTAATGATATATTGTCGACGAGCAGCTGTCGCGTGTGGTTTTTTAGCAGTAGAAGAAAAGAAAAAGAAGAAGTAGAGAACATGCGTTGTCGTCATGATATTATTACTTGATTTGCCCATCGACACAAGTAAAGGCAGTAGTAGCAACAAATAACAAAAATATTGCTGTTTCTTTTCATCTGAATCATTTTTTTATACTATTGAATGGGTTAAGTGATTTCATTTTCTTTTCTTTTTTTCGTTTCTGCACTTTCTTTTTTCGATTAATGAAACAGCAAAGGTAGCAGTTGTAATGCGGATGACGATGATGCTTTCATCTTCAAGTAAATAAATGGCTGATTGTAGCTTACATGTAGAGAGAAAAAAAAAGAAAGTAAGACTCGTCAATGCGCTACTCCGAAGTAAAATAAAACACACACACACAACATAATAATGTTGTGAGCTGTTACAGTAAGTTCTCGTCTAACTGAATAGTGTTCAAATATATATATATATATATTCATTCAAAAGCAATTGTAAGTACGTGAATATAAACGCATTGAGAGTAGATTTATGGACTTATGATTTTTTTTTTCTTTTCCATTTTATTTTAATCGTAATGCGTATGCATCTTATACGAACAAGGTCTTGCATCGTTATGCGTAGCTAAGAATAAAATCATTGAACAAAAGCGACGGATGACTATATGTAGGCGAAAGACGTATGTAGAAAAAAATAGGAAAGGGATGTGAGCCATATTCATCCCGTTCATCACACATATGAGCGAGCATTTGATGAGAACAAAATTTTTTATAATAGAAATCGTAAATAGAAGTCAATATAACCTATTCTATTCTTTTTCTTTTTTCTTTTTGCGATATAGTGAACATTAGTATTAGTCTATATGTAATATAACAAATAATTAAATGAAGTTTCATTTTTATCGTTCGTTCGTTCGATTGATTAGTAGAGAACGAGCAATATATTGAGGACACGTTAAACTATAAATGCAGGATAATAGAGAAAAAGAAGAAGGTCATCGATACGCATATCTATTCTTCTGATTGATGTATGTTATATTTCTTCTAGATATTTTTGTTTGATTGTTTTCATCTTGATCACGACTAGTATGTTGACTGAAAACAATTTTCATCATCATAATGGAGGTTCTGTAATTCATCAACATCGTACCCATTATGCTCCTTATCAACATCCATCATATATAGGAAAAGTTTCTCAACAACAACAACATCAACAACAATCAGAATTACAAATACCTAAATTTGATTTACATCATGCTGTTCGAACAAATGATGTTACCGGTATAATTCGTTTACATGGTCGTCTTCGGCAACAGCCAACAGTAGCTGATGCATGTTTACTTGATTCAAATGGACATACACCACTTTATACAGCTATCGATAATGGAAGACTTGCTATGGTTGATCTTCTTCTTCATCTCGGTCATAATCCAGTAAGTTCATTTCTAAATTTAGAATATTAAATAATAAAACACATCTTTTCTTTTTCTCTCTCTCATTTAGTATTGCATTTCAGTAGCTCGTGAATCTGCATTAAATGTTGCTATAGGTTATGGTCGTTTAGATATAATTGAATATCTCTTATCACGTGGTTTTCCTGTTGATTATGCTGGATTTGAAAATAAAACTCCATTAGAACGAGCTATTGAATGTAATCAAGGTTCTGTTGTTGTTATGTTACTTAAACGTGGTGTCGATTGGCGACATTATGAAGAACGACGTAAAACAGGCGATAAGTCACTTGTTGAATGGGCATTAGCAAATGAACATCCTCAAGTTTTAGGTGTACTTATTGATGAATATGGTGATGATGAATCGATATTTAATCAAATCGGTATGATGTAAAAAAAATTATATTTTGTATATACATATATGAACATACATGCGTATTAAACAAACCATTTTCAGGTGTACATATATATATATATATGCATTACTTTTATGTGTGTATATTGTAAATAGAGAGTTCATTAGCCCGGTTTTGTCTCATTAGAACACATTTATATATATAAATTTCATTCATTTACAATCAACTAAATTCGTTGTTTGTTTCTATTTATGTATATGATTATTAAAGAACAGTTTTTATGTATATAATATATTCTATCCATTACAATACATGTCAGTGTTTCATCTGTGATTTTTGTTCGTTGTTTTTTTTTTGTCTATGTTGTATATAAATTATGATGAAGAGAAAATAACAAAAAATTGCTTTCATTTGTATATTTGTATATAAAGAGAAATATATATATAAATATATCTATCTATATATGTGTGTATACGTGTGTATGACTATTTTACTTGTATATAAATCGATTTGAACCTTTTGTCTTAACGATTTTCTGATTTCTTTTTTTTTCGTGTGTGTGTGTGCATGTGTGTTTTTCTTCTTTAGGAAAAAAAGAAATATAAAAATGAGGTGAATGTAATTTGAAAAAAAGCAAAAGAAATTTTTTAATTCGTGAATCATATATATTAGATTAAGAAATTCATGAATATTTTTTGTTGTTACTTTTAAAGTCATCTATTAGTTAAAAAAATATTTATCAGCATATTCTCGTATCTTAAACAAATAGTTACAAAAAACAAAAAAAATATTACTCTACAGATTAATTATTATTTTTATATGTTCTGATTGTATCAAAAGTTACGGATAGTCGATTCTATAGAATCTTTTTCTATTGATTTCAATACAATTTGCCGACGCGAATTAAGATTTGTATAGAAAAGATAATGGTTTTTGTAATAAATATTGATTTCATTTATTATGCATGGTAACGTACCAGAGAATAAATGCAAATCATGAGTGATGATGATGATGCCTTAAGGCTTAACTCTTTTTTTCTCTGTTAGACACCTAGAGGCTTATAAAGGCTAAATTCAGTCTATGTTTTTAAACGACTACTTCCATTAGCATAACACAAAAGGTAAAAAACATTGGAAATACAGCTAGTTGCAATAATATATGACAATTCAATAAATTCTGACACTAACAGATATCTCGATAGTATTTATTTTCTTTGAATATTCTCTATTTATAAACAAAAATATCCGTGAGTTTATTTATCCTAATAAAGAACTAAAATATATACATAAATTATAATTTCGAATACCATTTGAGTGTTCGAAAAAAAAGTGACCATTTATTTTTCCATAAATCCCATCGAAGTTGAATAGGATGTGATCCAAATCGAGATGGTTGAAGACCTAATGTATTTCGTATGCGTGGTAATTCAAAAACAAGTGTTTGAATCAATTGTAATAAACTATTCAATGCCCAAAATAGAACAATACCCTAGTTTTGTTTTTCATAAATAAATAATTATTTAAATATAATTAATAATGAAAATTACATACAGATGGTAATTTAACAGCAATTAAAGAGAAACCAATAACGACTAATCGAGTGAATCCACGTTGTATTCGAGCGGCGGATAAAACTCGTGAATTGACTGGTGAACCTGGTTTTTCTATCGAATTAAACTAGAACAGAATAATTAAAAGCAAAACAGATAATAATAATCTAAATTAACTTACAGTAATTCCTATAAGACTAGGTATAAGAAAGCATATCGGTAAGAGACCATATGGATCAGCTTCTGTTAAATTTTGAAACCATAGAGCACCTTCTTGGGACATAGTGGCTAAAATAACATAACAGAGAAGTAAGTATTTGTAATTAATGGAAAAATTTTAGTTTCAGACTTTTATTTCTAGACAGGATAATTATATTAGTCACATATATAATTATTTGACTTGAGTTTTAATTTATACTTTTTAATAAGGATAATTATCATAGTGATTTCTTAAGAGGTAAAAATACTAGAATTTATACTTACGTAAAACGATGGGTGACATACAAATCATACGAATAGCAAATGTAACATAAAGCCATGGAACCGAACCAAATAATCCCAGAATAAGTAGTTTACCTGGATGAACGTTATGTTCAACATAACTTTGTTTTGTTAATTGAACTGCCTATGAAAAAAAATTATGTTTGAAAATTTTATTAATTGTTTTACTTCTCGTCTAAGATGTTTTTGTTCTGCAAGTACAGTTGCTGTTTTTCCTTTCATAGCTTGCATATTTAATATTTTTATTCGTGGTTCTAATTCACTTGAAACATGACGTCGAACAGTTTGTAGACGTTCAATAAAACGTTGTTGTGTTATCGTTATTGAAGCACCAACAATAGTACGAAAAGCAACTGTTGTTAATGCTATTGTTGCCCACCATGGTAATGATAAATTATCATGTATGTATACAAGACTATTAGCAACAAATTCAGCTGGTGTTTGAACAAATGTTTCGAATGCAATCGTTGATGTTGGTTTCTTTTCAAAAGCAAATGATTGTTCTTGAAGAAATTTTGATAGATCATCCGATGATGTTGATGATGAGCTATGGCGTGTTATTAATAACGATGCAATTGAATGAGAAGGAAAATGTGAATACGAGGAAATTAAACGACGACATGATAACATGATGTTTTCTATCTGAAAAATGGATATTTTATGTTACATTCTTAAATAGTTAGCTTTAATTATGAGATACAACAATGACTTTAATAGTTTTTAAATGTATGTTCATATAGCCAAAAAAATTAATTGTAATTATATAGATTAGATTAGAATAGAAAACAAGGTCGTAGGCAAATGACAATCCCAAGACACTTTTCTTTCTGATTCGATCTGAAACAAGATAAAGTACTCTCTTGAGAGAATTCTATCACTAATACAATCTAATATTTGCTTAAATTGATCAAAATTATTTTGCTCGAGAGAATATATAAATAGGAAAAAACTAATACTTTCAATTGATCCTAGGTTATATGTAATTATAATCGAAAATAATTTTATATTGAATAGAAATAATAAGTAGACATCCTACTGGATCACATGGTAGAGTTAATAAATTTTTCGTTTCTACTTTTCGGCTGACTATTCGAAAAATGCCGTACTTCTCTACGGTTAAAATTTGGATCCTAGTACAAGACATATTATATAACAAAGAAAAGATAAGAAATATACATGTTCTTATGTTTATTATTTATTTGAAATAAAAAGAAAAGAAAAACTGTTTATGTTTGTAATTTCAATGCCGTTAAACTAAATCCATCACCAACATATTGACTAATATAATCAATTAAATCATGTTTCTTTTGAGTAAAACGAAATGATTCAAGTTCATAAATTGTACACATATTATAAATAATAGCTTCATGAATATTTTCATGTTTATCTCGAATTAATTTTTCATATAAATCTAATGATTCTTTCATTTTTGACATATAAAGTAAGACTACACAATGATTATTAATTTCAATTGGATCTTTTAATGATGTTAATAATTTATTTGTTAAAAATTCATTACGAAATAATGCAAAAAGTTCTTTTGTTAATAAAAATTCATTCGATAAATTTTCTTTAGATGGTAATAAATTTAAAGCACGATCAAATGCACGTTGTGCATTTAATTCATCACCTGTTTGTAGTAATATTCGTACAATTAATAAATAAAGTTCAATTTGTTGTTCAATATTTTCATTTTTTATTATTTGATTTTCTATTATTGATATTATTGAATCGAAACGTTTCATCAATATATAACAATTTGCTATAGAATATAATATACGTAAACGTCGTTTATGCCATAATTGTGTTTGATCTTTAGGTAAAATACTTAATATTGTATTTGTTATCATTAGTAAACGAAATAAACGATCAAGACCATCATGAAAACGATTTGAATCCATATAAATGGGTAATTCAGCATAAAGTAAACGTAAACTAAATGGAAATTTATTTAATGAATTTAAATTTCCAAATGTTTCAAATTCATTTTCAATTGTTGGAAATAAACGTAATTTTATTAAACAAGCAAAACGTATAAACCATATATGATAATCTTGTGGATTTTTCATTAAATAAGTTATTGTCCAATCTACAGCACTACGCCAACATTGATTTTTAAGAAAATTATTTAATGATTCTATTGTTTGATGATCACCACACATTGGATCATATCGAAGTTCATTTTCCGAAGGTTTTTTACTTGTTATTTGTTGAATTGGATTACCTAAATATTTATCAAGAATTAAGCGAGGTGTTGTATTAGATGTATCATTTTCAAGTAACCATAAATCAGATATTTCAACTTCATTTAAACGTGCACGGATCAATGTTGCCCATTGTGGATCATATGCAAACCAAATACTTTGAGATGACATTAGATGTTAATCTAAAATATGTTATATCTTGATATTTTATTCAGCTATGAAAGTAAATGATTGTGAAGTTATTCAATAATATTTAACGGACCATTTCTATTCTCGTATATTTGTCAAATTCAAATAGAAATTGTTAAAACCGCTCTATCAAATTAGTCGGTCGTCATCTTGAGAACGATATGAATCATTCGTATAGTCCATTGGTTGGTTCAATTTTTACCATCGCTATTAAAAACATGTGATTGTCTTGAATCAAATAAAATTTATTTTCATCTCTAATGAAATTCATGTAGATATCAACAATATTTATATTGAAAAATAGATTCTATCGTACTCTGCCGTCATCTATCTCAATCACAACAACCATAGGAAATACCATATATATCGTTATTAAGTTCATTAGTTGATATAAAACAAACAAAAAAAACAATTTTTTTAAGTAGGCTATATCCTTTATGATCAATTTGATTGTATTTTGCAATTGTTTAATAAAAGAGAATCTCTAATACATCATTATTTATTTATATATTATTTTCTATTATTAACAGTCGAGTTTATTCGAAAAATAGAATTTCTATAATAAGTAAAAATATCGAATAGAATTAATTACACATTGACAAGAATTATTGATGCCTAGAAGAAAATTTACTGACGACGTAAAAGAACTGAATGGTACTTTAGAGATAAGACATTCTTTATCATAGATTTGAATAACAACATAAAATAAGAATCTGTACTGATCAACAGAAACACGATGAGTTATGTAAGATTTGTTGTTAGCTTATTTTTTTGCTCAGATTGGTAGATTAAGAAATAATAAATATATACGCATTAGTTAATGAATCATTAGTTTCGTATGGCGTATAAAATGTCGTAACATTATTATATTGATGGTTACTATTAATAACCAAAGCTAGTCTAGTGCATTTTTTAATTATACTCAAATATAGAAATTTCAAGGTCTAAAACTTATAGTATTAGAATAATCTTCGTTGATTATTATGATGTTTGTTTTTTAACCTAGGACCGAAATGACGTTCAACTATTATAGGCTTCAAGCTGTTGCTTGCATACATATATAGAAAACGAATAAATAAGAAAGAATTAGTGATTTATTTTCTACACAATTGGACAGAACAGTTAATATGGGTTGTGTGAGTGCGAAAAAGAAAACGCACTGAATAACCAAAAAAAGAAAATATTTATATTAAGAGCGAGTTATATTTAACTGTCTTGTTATATAAACGCGCTTTGGTTTTTTTGCACTTATCTTCTAGAAGTGAATATTGCCTTCTTCTTTTTTTTCATAAATTGTTAATATATTCTTTGACGTATGTATAATTATCAAGATAGAGCAGCTGTGATGTATGTAAGTTGTAAAGATAATCAGTTTTCTTTGCTTCACTAACATATGGTCTTCAAGTGATTGAAGTATGACTTATTATAATAATATTATTTTTTGTACGTGCTCTATAGAGAGAACTTGATCAACAATGTGCACTAAAGAACTTTCATGATTTTTCAAGAGTTTGCTCATCATTTAAAATATTATTTGTCCTATTTCTGTCACCTTTTTTTGAATAAAAATAATATTTACATCAGTTACTAAATATAAAAAGTATTTTTGTTGTGGGAGGCGTGTTTTATTAGTATGAGATTTATAAAGAAAAAATAAATAGTAAAACTTTTAATGAAAAATGATAGCGAGTATTACGTATAAGGTCATGACCTAATAAAAATGAATGTAACAAATCTATGTAAATTCTAACGATTACATTTTTTCTCGTTTAATCAGACATATTTTATGTTTATCACGTACTACATATTCTCTGTTCTGATAAATTAATAGTACGAAAAGAAAATTTGACGTATGTATTAATTAATAAATGTCAATATTTACTAACTGGTAACATTACCAACTTTAACGAAATTTTCTCATGATACCCAGAAGAAAAATAGTGCTTTTTATCTAGCGCATGATAGAGAAAAAAAAGGAAGAAACCAAGCACATATGGAAATTTTTCACACGCCCCCTTCTTTGATAGTTATATAAATGTTTTATATTGAATATGAGCATATTTTGTTTCGTAGATGAGTTGCACTAAAACGAACCACCTGATAGAGATTAATTCTGTTAGTTAATTTCTTCCTCTCTCCCTCTCCTGTAGAATCTATTGATCACGCAGTCGAATCGTGCTTTTACTTGCAACAGGGGCAAAGAAGAAAGAAATAAGACACGATGCAAAAAAAAAAGCATACATTGACGACGTGATCAGTATCAGGCGTTCTTTTTTTTTCTCTCATTTTTCTCTCTTCCGACAGAGCATAAATATTCAGTACAAAGTCAAAATTGTAAATCTAACGTTACACTCTCCTGTTGTCCTATACAACGCATAGAGATAAACGAAATTTTACAACTCACATATATCTATATATATATAAAGGTATGTTAATAGACGTAAGAAAAAAATATGCACATAAAAATAAAAGCTTTTAGAAGTAAAAATGAAACTTGAAACTATCATTAAGATTATTTTTTTCATTTGTACTTCAACCTCGAACATATCAAAATGACTTTTAAAGATTTATACATCGTTGAAATACGATACAAATCTTTTTTTCTATAGACACAAATAATTTATATATCATAGCTTTAACTACTTTATCATATGACAATAATCTAAAAAGAAAAAAATACGATATCTAAGCTTTTTTTCTCGAAGAATATTGATAAAAAACAAAGGCTTATTTTTTATTTTCAGTTTATTTAAAATGTCATCCGTTGATACTTCTGACATATACTATCCACTATCATGGATTAAAACTACAACAGATCTTATCTTTGGTTTATTCAGTAGTCCTCAGAAAACAAAACGTTCATTACCAGAGGAAGCTGAATGTGGTTCTATAGATGGTATTAAATGTTGGCTTCGTGAAGGTATAATTAGAAAATTAATTATTCATGAGTAAAATAATTCTTTTTATTTGTTTCTAGGTGCTGATATTGATGCACAGGATGCATATGGTTATACACCATTAATGAATGCTGCTATGCTTGGTCGACTTGATGTTGTTAAAGCATTAATTGAAGCAGGAGCTGATATACAAAAACCAGGTCAATTTGGTTATACAGCTTTACATGCTGCTGCTCAAAGCGGACATTTAGATGTTGTACAAGCTCTTGTTAAATATGGAGCTAGTGTTAATTGTAAAAATCAAGATGGTGATATTCCTCTTATTCTTGGTATGTTAGAGAAAAAAAAGCCCGGAATAAATTTATTTATTGTTTTTTTTGTCAATAGCTGTTCGTGGAACTCATGCGGAAATTATTGATTATTTATTAAAATCCGGTTCGGATATACATCAAAATGGTTGGCTTGGACAATCTGCAGTTCATACAGCTAGTAAATTAAAAACTAATCTTAATATATATAGATATGATAAATAAATATTTATTTTAGTTGCTAATGGTGATCAAGCAACAGCTGATACATTATTAAATCGTGAAATGATGATTGGATGTTCATGTTCTGAATCACATCGTCATGCTCGCGAACATCTTCGACAAACATCATATTCATCACAAGATTAATATTTAATATTTTATCAAGAGTCATTGTAGTTTTTTTCAAAGATTTATTTATTTGTCGATATTGAGTTAAATATCTGTCATTTGTAATGTCTTCTTGTTATTTTGTTTCTTATCAACAAACAGTGGTTATTCATCAAGAGTCTTTTTATTTTATTCTCAGCATGTGTACATAGTAACGAAGAAGATTATTTTTTATTGTTACAGTTTTTGTATGCGTGATTCTTTCTCTTCTTTTTTCTTTTTTTTGTACAAAAGTTCTTCTTTTTTTTTCTTTCGTGGTTTGTTCACCATCAAATAAGTATCTGATAATGTTGGATGAATCTATGTGTACATTGATGAATTAAATTAAAAGAAAAAAAAAAAGATTGTTTTTCATAGTAGTATCACATTATTTTGATATGTATATATAAACGATCTTAATTTCGATATGATAAATTATGTATATTTCAAGAAGTATGGTACCATAGCGTTCTTTTTTTCTATACTGATCTCATATTTTATTTCGAGAAAAAAAAAGAAACGCAGAATCGATCAACAACAAGACGTGATATACATATTAATGAGAGAAAAAAAAAGAAATAAGAAGAGTATACACACAACGCAGAAAAAAATAAGTTAAATATTTGTTTTGTTTCTTTCTTTATATGAATGCATATTTGATTTTCTTGCTGAGAATAGTAATATTAATAACAGATCATAAATGAGATTTTTCAGTACCATGTAAAAACATCAGCTGTTTGTCCTTGTTGATTGGCACGATTTTTAACAGCTATGTATGATATTAAACCACGGATAAAAAGAAAAAATCCAGCAAATAAAACAATAGCAAAGACAAAATTTTGTGCTGGATCATGCATTGTTGTTCGATGTAATGATGTTGGACCATGACCATTCATAAATGGTGAATGAGTGTTAAATTCATGATAACGCATAACTACAATCCATTTTGCAACACTTAAACCAAAACCAGACATTGCACCGAAACGAGCTGCAATTGATGGTATAAGACAAACAACGGCAAGAAAACCAAGCCAATTGAAAAAGAAAGCAATAACACTATTGAATAGATTTTGTTGAATGAATAAAATTCAATATACAAATAAATTTTAACTTACAAAGCCATGAGAAATGTACAATCTGTACCGATATCCATATTTGAACCAGTTGTAAGCCATGCAGCAATTGCTGGATGATTTGCATGACGAGATGGCTATTAAGAGAAGAATAAATATATATATTCAAGTAAATATAGTTAATTGATCGTACTTGGTCAATTCCATTACTATTATGTACATTAAGATCGATAATTTCCACTGGTGATACTTGAGAGTAATGTGGTAAATGATCCCTATTAGGAATTTTACTTGGATCAACAAGACAATATGGTGGTGGAGCTTCGACAGCTACAACTGATGTAAATACATCTGCATTGTCATTAGTATTTGATGATGGAGTTATTTCATATGCTGGTGGTGGTCCATCTAATGAAAGAAATAATTAAAGTCTATTAAATTTAGACAAAAACACTAGACTGAATTTCCCCTATTTTTTTAAAATTTATTAGAACTGTTGGCTAATGCATACAGTGCTTAGTCGACTATATTTGACCTAGTAAGCTTTAAAAGGAACATTCTAAAACCCTCGATTTAGTTAAATACTATATCAATTTTCTCTTAATTATATAAATCTTAATAGATATTTAATGAGATATATACTAATAGGATCCATAAGTCAAATCTAATTATCATCGGCATCAATAAATAACTATAAATACAAGCAATTACCGGTCATATACAACGAGATCATTGTAAAATTCATTTAAATTATATCCGCTTATCGTATTACATAGAAACTAGAGATGATAAAAGGGTCAATGAACGATGAGCATAGGAACTTTAAGCACATGAGTGTTTAAGTCCATAATATCGATAAAAACAAAGAAAGTCAAGGCAGATATGAATCGACATGGATACAGGAATCTATCAATGTCATGTTTTCCGGGCCAGCGCCCTCATCCACACTCAGATGCTTGTGCTCATCGTTTCGGTTCCCCTGATTCTTTCTTGTTTGTTTTACCTAACGATGTCGGTTGTATTGTTGCTGATGCAACTGTTTCTTGTTGAACTGGTGTTGTTTGCTCAGCTGATGGCACTGAACTGTTTTCTGTATTATTATTATTCATTATAAATATGTCGATAATCAAAAATTGATAAATAAATGATCTGAAAGAAAACAATTAATTGTTTTTTTTAGTCGATATTTAGAAAAATAGTATGAAGTAAAGAAGCAAAAAAAATGTTGTTTTTTTTTATGAATGATATAAAGGACAGCAAGAAATAAGACAAACACAATCTGATTGCAAGAAATAAGGAGAAAGTGACAAAAAAAAAACAATAATATATTGAGTTTGTATTGTACAGAGACGGAAGAAAGAAAACGACCTGATTTTGAACTCGAACAATCGAGAGAAGAAGAAGACACCAACAATAAGATAATGAAATCACTGTATTCACAGACGAATAATATATAATGATAGATTGTTTTACTTATGAGATGTTGTACCATTACCATTATTCGTTGTATTTGTAACAAACGAATTTGAACTATAAGAATGTTGTAAACTGATCATTGATGCCCGATTATTATTATTGGAAGGAGTATTAACATTTGAATTCGTAGTAAAAATATGTATATCTTGCATTGATTCAGCTAAATCAGCCACATTAATACCTAAAGTAGTTATTTCAGAATCAATTTGAGATAATTCACGACGTTGTTTTTCCAAAAGTAAAGCAAATTGTAGTGTACGATCTTCATTATAAGCAGTTAATTCTTGTTCCATCTAAATCAAAATAAATATATATATCGAAATGATGAGAAAAGTTATTCATGTGTAATAATATTCGAGTTTTTTATTGCTATTTCAGAATAGCTTCGAAATCAATTCATGAGGAAAATAAATAATCAACTATTAATTTGAATTACGTATTTTTTTCTCCTTATAATGCATGTTCTAGAATAATAATATATCGGAAATCGATAAACTGACAATAGACGAAGCTGATATGAGAAAAAAAATCTTTTTAATTAATAATAGGACTCGGCGAAAGAATCATTGTCTATAATGTATTGTTGATTTATGTGTTATAACTTAATCGAAATTATTCGACAAAACTTTTAATCACGTATAAAATAATGACATCTGATGTATGATCAAATTACACATTTAAATGAAGAATCTTAAGTCTATCGAAATAATTTCAGTAAATTTAAAATAGAATCTACAATAATGTATTAAATGAAAAACAACTATAATTTAACAGTTAGTATTTTGTTTTTTTCTTTCTTTCTATAAATAAAATCTTCATGCGTTTTTACTTTTAGAAATGATTTCTAAAACGTTTTTTTTATATTGTTAAAATCTGTTAGTATTTAATATAAATATTTGTACTACCATAAAAATTTCCCAATGTGAATAATATAATAAACTATAGCAAATATTAAAATGATAAGTTATATATCTCTACAATCACCAATGATATTTATATAGACATTCTACCAAGACTCTGAGCCATTCGATTCGAATACATACCGATATTAATAGAAATTGCAGTTATTATTCATCTAATAACTAGAATGAATAATATTTCTCTCGACAACTCCTGCTGAATCTGTAATCATTATCCTTATTAAATATATAATACCTGTTTATTAAGTTCAATTAATCGTTCTTCAATATTACGTTCTAATTGTTTACGTTCATCCGAATGTTGTTGTTCCATTCTATGACGACTTTCTTCTTGTAAACTAAGTAAAGTTCGTTGATCTTCATCAAGTATGGCTTTTAATGTTGTACGTTCACGTTCTTGATCAGTATTAAGTTTAAAATTTTGTTGATCAAGCATTTTTTGTATTGTTTCTTCGTAACGTTGATATAATGAATCAAATTTTCTTCGTTGTTCATCTTTAAGTGTTTTTAATTTTATATCAAGTTCTTCACGTGAACTATTTGTTGATGCATGTGAATAATCTAAACGTGTTTTTTCTTTCAAAGCTTTATATTGTCGTGTTTGAGTATTATAAGCTTCTTTATGTTGACGTTTTATATCTGCCTGTTTCATCTAAATATAAAAATTAATTCATTAATTCATTTCTTCTCTTTTTATTAGTATTACTTTGATATTTTTTGGAAATTGTTTTTGACTTAATGCATGTCGTTTAGCTAATTCTTTTTGACGACGATTACTATATTCATGAAAATTAACGACTTCAGTTTGATGTTGTTTAGAAGTAAATTCATTTCGCATTCTAAAAAAATAAGAAAATAGATTATATTAATTCTTTCATACTAGGCGTTATCATATCGGAACTTTTTTTTTCTGTAAAGTAATGCAGTGTTATTAATTTGAAAATAAGATTAGAGAGGTAAATTATAGTATTTAATAGGAAGTTTTATAAATACTTTTTTCTTACATAGGATTTCAGCGTTAATTATACAGATGTATTTCATAAAAAACTGTCATTCTCATTATTTACAATGGATTATTCTATTACTGACGTCAGAAGTAAAAGACTGAGAATGAACGTCATTCTCTCTGGTTATGAATAGCATGTAATCATTTTGAAAGTAATTATTTCTATAAAAAAAAAAGAATGCATGAAAATGACCTATTATTCAGGTCAGAGTTTATTTTTGACCTTTGATCTAGATAAAGAGAATTTATATCTATTGATTAATAGTTAATATACTTTTTTCTTTTTGATTACATCTCCCTTAGACTGTCAAACTATTCTGATAATAAAAAGTGCGGAAATGCAGTAAAATTTTCTAATTATTTTTCCATTGATAGAATATATTAACATAATTATTTCTATGATATCTTGAATTATAGATCCTAATTTCCTCTACGTCAATCAAAGAAATAAACTTCATCTTATACATTATCCAAGGAACAGACATTCTAACTAGGTCTCTGTTTAATGATGAAAACTACAGATCACTAGGAAGGTCAAGTTAAGTGTGCTCCAAATTTGGAGTTTACGGATGTTTAAGTTTTCGCAAAATACTCTCCCTAAAAACTGTGATAATATGTTTTTGATTGCTCTAATATATACTATGGACTGTACTGAGTTGACTGATAGTGTTCAAAAAAAAAGCACAGAGTTGCAAGCTACGATTTGTCGCAAAACTTGAAACTCGCAAAGTTCAAATTTGATTAATTTTCTTACTTATGCAAACTTCCTAATTGTTTATGTTCAAGTTCTTTCGTTTGCTCATGATGTTTTTTAAGTAAAGCATGTCGTTGTATAATTGTATCCATACTTTTTGTACATTTCTAAGCAAAGAAAATGAAATTCATTTCTTTCAAATTTTTGTTAAACTAACTTCTTCGAATAATTTCTGTTCAAGAACATGTAATAATAATAATTTTCGTCGTTTTAATTGTAAACGTCGAACATTATGATCATGTATTATTTGTGTTTTTAATGTTTGTTCTTCATTACGTAATTTTAACTGTAAATCATCTTTTAAACGACGTATTTCATCTTCTTTTTCATTTTTACCACGTGTTGATGAACCTAAAATTTCCTAAAAAAACAAAAGAATAATTTTTTATCAAGAAAAATATATTGAAATTTTTCTATTACTTTTTTAAATGTATCTTTTTTCATTTTATATTGTTTAGTTTGTTCTTGTTGAAAACGTTTAAGTTCATCATCAAAATCAGTTTGTTGTTCACGTTCAAATTTTCTTAAATGATTTTGATTATATTTAACACGATCAGATAATTCTTTTCGATGTTTTTCTAATAAACGATTATTTTCTATATTAACTTGTTCTTGAAATGTATTATATTCTCGTTCAAGTTTTGAACGTAATTCAGTTTTTTCTGTACGACATCGTTCTTCAAACTAGAAAAATTATTTTTCTCTTGAGAAAATCCATTTTTCATAAGAAAGTTTTTTGATTCATACTTGTTTTAATTGTTTTTGATGTTGTCGTCTCATTCGTTTATAACCTTGGAATTGTTCACGTTGTTGATCTTCAAGATCATGTTCACGTTGTTCACGTATAACAATACGTGAAGTTTTTATTGTAGAAAATTCATTTGCCAGTGGAGCATTCATATGATATGGTTGATGAATAGAAGAATTATCAGATGCTATGGACTAAAATAAGAAAGAAAGGTTAATTATTTAGTTTTGGCCAGGTTCAGATCGAAAAAGATAGATCGGTTACTTCTTTTTTAATATCAATTGTTTGTAAGAAAGAGAGAATACTTTTGTTGATTTCATGATTATTAAGATAGGAATAATATAATTGTTTGTCTTCATACTAACGAGGGAACCTCACCAACTGTCCAATCGCTTTTTTAATAAAAACCATTGGGGTAGAGGTTATCGACCATACTGATTCCGAATGAGTATGAGAAGTGCTCTTAGGCCTTTATAGAACGGTCTTGCAGAAAACCGATTTCCAAAAATCACATACTTTTCACTACCCATATAGACATAATCTTTAAAAAACGTGTTTCAACGGTAGGCCATCGTATAAACGACGTTTTTACGAATTCTTAACGCATTTTTTAAAGATTATATCTATCTGGGCAGTAAAAAGTATGTGATTTTTGGAAATCGGTTTTCTGTATGACCGTTCTATAAAGGCCTAAGAGCACTTCTCATACTCATATTCGGAATCAGCATGGTCGATAACCTTTACCCCAATAGTTTTTATCAAAAAAGCAATTGGACAGTTGGTAAGGTTCCCTCGTAAGAGTATAGCAAAGTGTCATACACATGAATTCAACTCGTCTTATCCTTTGATGTATAGTTTCTGAAATAGACGTTTAGTACACGTCTCTATTAGTTTTAATAATAAAATACCGGATACAGACAGATTTTATCACGTATTCATGATAAGTTTTATTAATATTTATCGTGGGATTGTAATATGCAACAGAAGTTTATATCCTGTCACCAAAATTGACTTATTTAATTATGAGTCAATAGTTGTTATAGATACCTGTACTAAGGATAACTATTATAAAAGACATATGTGGCAGTAATGTTTTAAAATCCAGGAATATATATTTATAAGTTAAGGTAGAGTAACTCTTATCTACCAACTGCTTTATTAATACAATAATCTTAATCTTCTCGGATTCAAAATTGTCAAAGGATATAGTCTTTTCTTATTATCGCTCAAACCTGAATTGACAATTACTAAACTTTTTTTCATAAATCGCATCTAATATAAAGAGCTAGTTCAATCTTACATCATTTCTTATTGAAAAATTCGATTCATCAGTATTAATTTGAAGTGGTGGTAATGGTTTAAGAAGTGGATTTTGATTATCATTATTCATTTCAATTGATGAAAAACGCCGATTCATATTTGATATTATTTGATGATGTAAAGGTTGAGATGTTGTTGATATCTGTCGTCCAATAAGAAGACTATTCATTGGTATTGATATTGGATGTTGAAGACTTGATTGACTTGAATTTAAACTTGCATCATCACTTGGATAAACTTGATTCGTATCCGATACAAAATCTATACTACGACTATCATCATCATCTAATATTGGATATGGTGTATTCTGTGAACTATCCATATCCATTATAATCATTTCATTTGATTCAATAATACTTGAATTTGGTACAGATGAACTACTTGTATTAATACTTACTTGTTCATCATGTCCCATAAGAACTTTTTTCATTCGACGATAACGTATATTATCAAATTCTTTTACAGCGTCTTTCGTACGTCTTATTAAATCAATTAAAATTTCACGATTACTTTTACTTGTTATAAATGATGTCTAGAAGAAAATAATAATAATAAAATAAAATTTTTTTCCGTTTACCTTCAATAATTCTGAAGGTATTGGTCGATCATTTGGATTTTTTTGTAAACACATAGCAATAAATGTTATAAAATCATTTGTATATACACATGGTGTACCATTAGAATTTGGTTGTTGATTCTCACTATTCATCATTAATGTTGGAGGTTCATTTTGTGCAATATGATAGAGTGCAGACATTGGATTCATATTAAATAATGGTGGTTTACGTTCAGCTAAAAGAACTCTATTAGTAAAACAAATTATCGATAAACAAACATTTCACAAACCAAGTTCAATACAAGTTATTCCAAGTGACCATATATCTACTTTACCATCATATTGACCATTTTCCATTGCTAAAATAACTTCAGGTGCAATCCAATAACTAAAAACAAAATCTATAATTATATTATAACATTAAATTTATAAGACATACGGAGTGCCAACAAAACTATTAGCCGGACTACTAAACGAAGCTGAACCAAAATCAGCTAGAAATAAAAGAACGAATAAATATTCATGATTTTAATAATAGAAAAAAATTAATTTGATATTAAGCTATCGAGACAAATAACGTATCCTTTAGGGGCAATTTAATTGTTATATAACAAGTGACATAATTACAGCTAAAATATGATTATTCATTATATTATTTACCTAATTTAACAATGGCATCTTCTGTTAATAGAATATTTCCTGCTTTAATATCACGATGAATTCGATGCATAGAATGAAGATAATCTAATGCATTAAGTGTGTCACATACAATCGTAGCTATTTCATCTTCTGCTAAAGGTTTTTTATGAACTAAAATTGAAGAAAATAGTTGTTTTCTTTCTTAAAAAAATATTCATCGGTGATTTTTAAACCTTCAATAAGATCAGCTGCTGATCCTAGACAATATTCCATAACAAGCCATGTTGTATATTCTTTTAAATAACATCCACGATATGCAATACAATGACGATGATTTAATTCACGTAGAAATCGAATTTCTTTAAGAATATCTTGCCATGTCTAATAAGAATAATCGATTAAGAAAAAAATACTTGGAAACTTTTTTTTGAACAAACTTCTGTATTTTGTTTTCGTCCTGTTGACATTTTTTTAATTGCAACTATTTCATTTGTATCAGAATTTCGACCCTAAATAATATATAAACATTAACCTAAGTTAAAACAAATTTTTTATTAATATACATAATAAACAGCTCCAAAATTTCCATGACCAATTTCTCGTAATTCAACAAACAATTTTTCAGGATCTTCTCGAGAAAATAAATTACCACATTCACCATCACTCGTTGATATTTCTTTCGCTGAACGAGGAAGTGGCATTATTATTTTTTTACGAAAAAAAAATTAATCACTCAATATTTATGTTTTTGAGTACATCTATAATAAAAAACAGAAAATGAAAAGAAAGATGTCATGTGAATGAATCATTTTATCGTTCGTTTCAAGTGAATAAATCATTCCTTCTTTCCTTCCATTACCATTTTCTTGTTCAACAAATAGGCTTTTTTTCTCTCTATCTCCATCTTCATTCTTGAATAATTCATATATAATTGTTGACAAAGAGGACGCTACCTAACGAGAGAAAAAAAATTTTTTTTATTTTATTATTTAAAATACTTTTGAAAACTTTCAATATTAAGTCATACATTAAATTATGAGATTCTCTTATTCATTCAATATATATTACCTAATGTCATTTTTATTGACATATGATTATTAAACAGTAGAATGATAAGGATAAGATTCTTACAGAATTTCTTTTGTGTTATGAAACAGTCATTTTTCGCAATAACTACTTCAACTATTGAATAGATAGAGAACTAAATCTTTTTACTTAGTAATATACTGAGTTAAACTTTGCAAGAAATATCTATGTCAAAAGCAATTATCTTGACTTTTGGAGATTTATTAAGTAGATCGAGGCAACATATATGACATTAATATAATAACACTCTACAAGGATGTTTTGATTGACTACATATGAATAAAGAATGTAACATTAATAAAAGATATTAGTATATTTATTATGAGAATAGAAATGAACTAAAATTTATAGATGCTAATATAAACTTCTATGTTTACTTCATTGTACTGTTTAACATAGAAATGAAGTTTAATTTATGATTATTTATAAAAAAAATCATTTTAGAGTACGAATTTCATTCAGTGAGTATCTATCAAGTTATTAAATGACTTGTCTGCCCATCAATATTGATCATCGTTTTAACGAAGATTGATATACATAGTTTATTATTCATGATTATCATTTTATGTAAGCAATCTTATTGAAATTATTCTCTCCAGGCTATAGTTTCGTCGAAATATGTACACATATATTTTTAAACTGTCAATATTTGTAAAACCTGATATATTCGAAAACGAAGAGTGTTATCTATTATCGGTCACAGACATATTTCACATAACTGATAAGAATGTCCTTTATTATAAATTTAAGAATAGATAAATTAAAATCTCTCTGCTACTCTTAAATTGTATTTAATATCACAAAAGTATAATACTGTTTCTGTTAAATTTGTTTTTTTACCTTAAAAAGTATTACAATAAATGAATCGTTTTGTGCACGTTTTTTTGTTTTGTTTCGAAATCATCTGAACACGGTACAAATAAATGAAAATCAACAATTTGCGCATACATAAAAAAAGAACACAAAAGCACATGTCTTTATATTCACTGTACAAAATAAAAAATAGGAAAAAAAAGAAACAAACAAAACCAATTTGAAAGTATTTTAATAGCCAATCCGAGCACAAATTTAATTGAAGCATAGGATCTTTTCTTTTTCTTCTTCTGTTGAAGTTATATTTATGTGTATGTGTTTATTTTTGATTATACACTAGAAAAGCACCGGAGAGAAAAAAAACAAACAAATCACAATTTAGCAGATTCTGTTCTTTATCAAATCACATTAAGGAACACCAACGATCATCGGTAGTTAATGAGAGTTCATTTACTACTTGATTTCTACCTTCAACATTTGGCATATAACAACGATGATCAAGAGATTCACGTTCATAAAATAATAAATAAGCGGATGATGAACATTGCTCAAGAATACTTTCAGAAACCGGCTAAAAGATTAGAAATAGATTAACTATTTATTCAAAAATAAAAACTACCTTGCATGAACTATCATTAAAACAATACCACTGTTGATTAATATGATTTTTAACAAATGATACATAATGACCACCGCCGATAACACCATAATGACACTATAAGAAAATTAAAAGAGGATAAGAATTTAATTTTTCAATACTTACAATAAATGCATAAAGATTATAAGCAGCATTATCAGTATCAAAACTATTATCACCAAAACTTAGGGATCGATCATTCTTTTGAATGAATTTTGGTGGGCAAGGAATATTGAATTTATCATTTTGATTTTCAACTTTTTTTTTTCGTCGTCCAAATCGTTTGTTCTTTTTTATGATTATTTCATTTTGTGATTCAGGTGGAGGTAATTTGGTAGTAATAGTTTGATCTTGTTGTAAATTAGAATTATTTTCATTCAATAAACGAGCGGGAGATAGTATAAGATTATTATCAACAGAAGATGATACTAAAACAGGTTCTGACATAGTTGGTGATGATAATGATGATACTGAAGATGATGAATCACTAAAATTATCTTCAGTCGGTGAAGTTGCTAATGAATTGACATTTGATGAACGTGGTGCAAGAAATTTTGCTGGATGAAATGAACGAATAGGAAAACGAACTGGTCGAGGAGATTTTATCCAACGATTATTTGATAATTGAAAACGTTTAATATGAAATATCTAGATGAAATAAAATACATAATTACCAAATTGTTCAACAAGATCCTCCTGAAGACTCTAGAGAGTTTTTAAGAGAACTAGTAAAAGTAAGACGATCCCTCAGGGGCTCCGATCAGGGGGGGGCTACCCTCAAAACATTCGAAAATCTATTCGTCTTTCTGCCAAAATTTTCAAAGTTCTGCCGTAAACTTGGTTTAAAACTTATTTTTTATGCTCTTTTCACCACTTTTTTGCCAGAAACTCCAATAAAAACACTTTTTTCAGGCAAAATTTCACAGAAAGTGGATAGTTTGAGTATTTTCTACGTTATATGTGTCAGAAAATTATATAACAGCACTTTCCGGCAAATTTTATCCCTTCCCACTTTTGAAAACAATCGGGAACCCTGAGATGTCTGCTAAAGAAGAGTAAAAAACCATTCAGAATAGAGCTATTTTGAAAAAGTGCTTTAGGGAAGCCATTTTCACAGTATTATATCCAGCGCGTGGGCGCCGCCCACTTGAAAAACGAAACCTAGATAAAACTCTTGTTTCATACATCGACATTTCCTCCCTGACTATCCTCTATTGAATGGTGGGAACCACAGTTTGCTATGAATTTCATCGTTTTGTAAATCTAGCTATTCGATTGTATTTATTCAATATGAATTTATATATAAGAAAAAGGATTTTGACTTACTAAACATGGTGGTAATTTCCAAATATCAAGTTTTTTATCAGCTGGTTGTAATTGTTTACATCGTTTACAACTAAACATTTCTTTATTATCAAGATTTTCCCAATTAATAAATGATTGCAGACAATCTTCAAGTGTAACTGCAGATGATGGTTCATCATTATTTGATTCGATATTATTTCCTAATCGACATGATTTTACACTGGAATGAATTTCTACATCCTATTAAGAAAAATGTTAAATAAAATCATTGATAAATAAATTTTCTTATTCACTTGTTCATGACCAGATAAATATCGAAGAAAATAAGCTGATGATTCCCATTCGATTGCAATATTTCCATTCGTATATAAAAATTCTTTTTCATCAGATTCAAATGAACATCCAAGACAAAACCTAAATAAATTTTTTTTTTCGATATTAAATCATTTTTTCTAAAATTAATTTTACCGATTCCATGGACAAAGTGAACATCTTCTTCCATCTTCTTTCACATGTTTTAATATAAATGGATAACGTTGACCAAGTGAATCATCACAATCAAGTGCATGATTTGATATACATGTTAAATTCGTATTTTTTCGTAATAAACGTTCTAATTGTTTAGAAATATTTTCATAAATATTTTTATTTGTTATTTTGATTGAATCAACTTTATTATAAGGAATAATTATTGATTGGCCAAAAAATAAAATTTTATGACGAGTTAAAGGTGATAAATAACGTTCTTGACGTTCTAATCGACGATGTATAGCTACAATATATATTGAAAGATATTTATCCTTATCAGTTAATTTTAATAATGGTAATTCATATGCAACAAAATCACGAAGATTTAATTGTTTTATTTTCGTATGATTATAATCCATCACAGTATAACGACGTAGACATGTTGGTGATGTTACATCAAAAAACGCAATTTGTTCAATTGATAATTCTGATAAAATTGCTAATTGAGTTTTTATATGATCAACTGTTAATTCACCATTAAGTTTAATACCATATCGTATTGGTTTTGATCCATCAAGACGAATAACTAGAGGAGGAAAAGAGTTTGATTTCGAAATAACTTTTTTGTTTATACATACGTTTAACTTCAATATAAATTGATGTATCTATTGGTAATGGTAATGAAAGAATATTAAATGGATCAAATCGAACACTTTTAAATTCACATATACGACATTTAACTTGTGAACGAAGTAAACCATGAAATAAATCAACAATAATTGAAGTATTACGTGCTAAATGATTTGACCAATGTTCATGTGCAACCTATTATTATATTTAAATAAAATTGATTCAACAAAAAAAATTATATTATCCTTACATCTTCATCTGATCTATCATCACTATCTTTCAGTTCAACATATGGTTTATCATAAACACGATTAAGATCTTCATGTAAACCATCGAGTAAAAATGAAAGAAATTCTTGTGAATCATGTTGTTGAAAATCTGTAAAACGTGATGAACCAAATTTAGCTACTGAACCCTACATAAAGAAAAAATGAATCAATCGTTTAATTTAATATAAACAACAAACTCGTAATTCAAATGGTGCTAATGGTCCACGAACATTTCCCCAAAGTTTAGCAATTAATTGACCATAACATAAAGCTATATTTCCTTGCATTCCAATTGGATTATCTCTATAATTAAATAAATAAGATTATTATTTTTTTGGGTTGTGTTTTATTATTGTTCATACTTATTTATTTCAAATAAATGATATTTATGAAGAAAATAGAATGTTAATGGAAATGAATGACTGAGGCATTGTACAGCTGCATTAAGAAAACATGTATTGCCTAAATTTGATAGGCCAATTTGACCACGTCCTTCTTCATCAATATTTCCTATTGAATTACTTGGTGATAATGCCGATGCAGCTAATGCTTTTGAACGTGTTGCTAATGTATAAAGTTCTTCAGGCCATGTTAAATCATTATTACGTATTTCTAATAAAATATCAGTATTTTGAATAAAACCTGCTTCTTGACATGTTATATCATCAATAGATTCAAAATCAATTGGTCGAAGATCATTCTAAAAATTCGAATTAACAATATTAAGTTCACTGCTTTGAGTGATGTGTACAATAAAATCGAATAGAATAAAACATCGAAACTTATATTAATCACAAGATCAATATAAAAATTTCTGTGATGTACGAACAAAAGGTCGAATTTTAAGGATGGGTTTGGGTGCTAGGCGAATACAGTATCCACAATCACCCCACACCCACACCTGAAGTTGACTGGTGATGCCCAATAAAAAAAGCGCACAGTTACAAACTGCAATTTGTCAAAACACTTGAAACTCGTAAACTTCAAATTTGAAGGTCACTTAACTTGATCGGTACAAAGGATTTAACATAGGTATATGACACAAAGCTCAATTAATCTAAAAATCAAATTGATATATAATAATAATTACTTACATCATTATATCTCATCCATAATCTTATTTCTTCTAAAGATTTTCCAAATTTAATCGAAAGTTCTTCTGCAAGTGATCGAACTGTTTGATATTGACTAACAAAATATGAACAAGCTAAAATATGTCGCGATGTATTTGATGTTACTGAATTTGAAGAATTATTCAATCCTATAAACATAAATTCTAATTTTCTAGTTTTTTTGTCTTCAAAACGTTTTACCTGACATGCTTGCTGATACATAATTAAGTAATGGATAAACAAATTGCATCGATTGTGAATTATTATTATTCGTATTTGTTGTTGCTGATGGTTGTGGTGAAAGAATTTGATTACGATAAATTCTAGTTATTAACTTTAAATAGAAACAAAAAATAGATTTTTTTTTCGAATAATAAAGATTTAAATCTTACAGGATATAAATCAAGTTCAGGTTTATTAATTTTTTTTCTATATATGACTTTTCGACATACAACAGGTCCATTACAACGATAATATTTACGTAAAAATATCCATAATAATTCAGGTATCATTTCAAAATGAATTCCATGACGAAGACCGGGTTTAAGTTGAACACAATCATTGGAAATAACTTTTTCAATCAATGAACTATTATTAATATCACCGAGTTCACGACTAAAAAGAACATAAATAATTAAATTCAAAAAACAAATAAATTATAATTAACCTATTATCAGTTTTATTCGATTTTGTCGATGGAGATTTTTTATTATTTAATTCTTTACTATTTATTATTGATGATGTACATAAAGCTTCCCATCTAAGCCACCAATCCATTGAGATAAGATACCATGATGCACCAGGTTTTGATGTGGGTCTATGATATATCACATCCGGTTTAGTAAATGGATATTTTTCACGATGAAGAAAATGCCTTGAAAAGAAAATATTATACTAGAATTTTTATTTAAATTGACATACTTGACAATTGTTACTTCATCCTGTTGTGATAATGGTCTTAATCCAAATATAACATGACAAGTTTGAAAAATAAGATCAAGTAATTCAATTAATAATCCATCTTTTTGACACCATATTAAAAAATCTCCAGGTTTCAATACGGAATCATTAGTTGGTAAAATTTCAGCAGTATATACTTCAGGTGAAGTTCTTGAATGTATATTAGGTATAGAAACAAATTGTGAGACTTCAATAAGACATGTAGTCATGTAGATAACATCAGAATAATTGAGTATACCATCATGGTCGCGATCAAATACACGAAAGAGAACTATTTTAAATAAAAGAATGTTAATTTATCGTTTGCAAAATTCTCGGTTAAGATATAATCAATATTGGTAATTCTATTTTGAGAAACTATGAGTCTGTGTTTTTTTGCAGGAAACTTACATTTAAATCTTTCAAATTGTGGACCTCGACAAGCTGCACTGATTCCACAAACAAATTCTTTAAAATCAATGCATTCTACAAATAAAAATAACGAACAATTATTTATTAATTCTATTTCATCTATTTTACCATCTCGATTTTCATCAAAACCTTCAAATACACCTTGTATAAGTATTGATGGAAAAGCCAATGAAAGTATACTTGAAAATATTCGTAATGTCATATGTTGTTGTCTATTATTATTCCATGTATATAATTGATAATAACTTTGTTCTAATTCTTTAATTTCTTTTTCGGATACTAATCAAGAAAATATCTAAGAAATGTATATAAATATTTTTTTACTTACGTACAATGAGTTACACCAGCAAGAATTGAATATTGATCAGATGTTTTCTCAAATGAATAAGTTAATAATTCATATAAACGTTGTTCATCTAAAAGCCAATCTGTAATTGTTGTTGTATGACCTTGATGATATTCTAACCATTTAAGAAATTTTTCTTGTGTTATTATTTCGTTATTTTCAAAGAAATTTTTAAGTTCTTCTGGTAATTGATCACCACATTGTGAAAGAAATTGTTCAACATCATGCCAACGTAATATTCCAGTTGGAGTAAATAACGCGTATAAAACTAAATAAAACGAAATGAATATTTTGTTTTTAGTTTTATAAAAGAATTTTACTTACGTTGCATGCGTTCTTTTTCTGAACCATGATAGATCACTGCCAAACAACAAATAAGATCTTTAAGTGATACTCCTGATCGAGATGAATTCGCATAAATTTGAAAAAGACGCTAAATATGTACAATAAAAAATGAAGTCTTGATTAAACTTTATTAAATAATACATACAGCTGCTAATTTTTCAGGTAAAAAATTACAAAATACATCGTGTTTAAAACTTATATAATTAAGTTCATTTGCTCCATTAGTTATATCACGAAATGCTGTTTCAATACGATCCAAATCATTTTGAGAAACTAAGAAAAAAATTAATGAAAGTATGATTGATAAAAAGTTTTGGTTAAATCTTAATGATACATACATCTTTTTGAAGCTTCATCATATGATAAGATTTTAGTTGATCCAATACCCATGATTAGATTTTATTCTCATTTCATTATATATTTACTAGAAAGATTTTAAGATATAATTAAAAAAATACAATAATAATTATCTATTTGAAGTCGTCAGCGATTACTATATTGGCTATCTCGTTAAGCAAATAAAATTAATCCTAGGTTTTTATTAGATTTTGAAAAGAGCGCCATCTTTTGCTTCATATGTGAACGTTATTATTATTACATGTTTCAGATATGACGTGTCTAACATTGAGAATTCTGCAAAAATAGTTAAAGAAAACAGGTAGACATCGTAGTCAATATTTATTTTTTGAAAGCAGACCGAAATGAAAAAGTAACAACTATATTTACTCTTGACAAAATTGATTGTGAGTTATCGGCAACATAATAGAAAGTGTAGACTTAAAATTCCTATTATCTTTTGTTATTGAAATATAACGGAATTGTATTTATAAATTAATGTACGCTGAGATACAGCAGGAAATAGCAGTACTGCTATCTCAGTATGAATTTTAGCAAATAAAACTTTACTGGTAGATTTTGAACTGAAGAAATTTGGATTTAAAAATATGTTGTCAATTAGTTCCTTTGTAAGATTAAAATATCCTATTTCTATTAATTTACTTAGGGTCATTCAAAAGTAGTGGCGGAGGTACTTTTATTTCTTATAAAAAGTTTTAAAAAATCCTTTCTGTGTGAATAGATAGAGCATCTTTCACTCGATTATATGATACTTCGACTAATATTATGATCCTAAATTGTCATTTATACTGGTAGCAAGTTTAAATTTCAGTTTTCAAATCGTTAGTATGTTTGTATTAATAACCAAAATATGCTATCAGACGCACCATGATAAACTCTACAATCCACACAGCAATACATATTATAATTGTTTTTGAAAAAAATAAAATATGATACGACTAGTTTATGCAGCATTAAAAATCGTTCGCTCAAAGTTTTGCTCATTCTAGAAACAAAAAGCAGAATGATAGAACAAGCGATCATATGTAAATTGTAGAACTTCTCATGCTACATCTAATGACACGTTTTTATATTTAATACAGCGTATTAACGGATACAAAATGCAAATATTTACCTTATACTACCGGTACAAATGATAGCGAAACAAATCTTATCTGGAATTTATTATCACAATATTAGTCGAAGTATGGTGAAATCTTATAGAAAAGCAGAGCGGAAGATGCTTTATCTATCCATAAAAAAACTACCTCCGCCACTACTTTTCAATAACCTTAAGTAGATCATTTTCATGAAAAATAATCTTATCTCAATTGAGAATATCGAATGCTAATAGTATTACCTTTTGTTACATATGTGCCAAGATTGAATTACCGGAACTTTACTGGTATCCATCCTGACTCCTACTTCATTCTGAATAATATCTCAATGTACTTTTAGCTAATTATGATAGAAATTAAATCACAGTATTTTCAAGTATATTCTTGAAATATTAGTGTTACAGATACTGATTTTATGAAGATTCATTAGCCTTTAAATATAGTATCTTAATTAACTACTAACTTATTTTAATGATGCTCTGTTTTGTATTAGATTTATTTCATACATATTTTTTCAGATTACACTAGTCACCTGACAGTTAATTCTTAACAAGTCATAAAGAACATACTACGTACCTTTACATAGTTCAGTTGAGTCATATAATTCGGCACGAGTTAAGTACATCATAAAGAGCATCTACCGGTAAACGTGATGTAGTGTAATATATTTAAATAAATATTTACAACTATGTCTATGAAATTCATTGATTAATGATAGATTAGAAAGTCTCACATGAATAACATTCTTTTTACAATATACACTCTATTAATGTAATTATGTCATTCAAGTAATTGGAAAAGAATGTGTTGATTTGAAAGCTTTATAATATTATTAAAGTAACTTTGAAAAAAATCTATCCAGTCTTTGAATCAATCAATTGATAATTGTATTTCATGTACATCAAAATAAAATCGTTTTTATGTCATTTTGACTTGTAACAATGAATCAATTCATATGTACAAAACGAATTAATCTTAACAAACTCATTTTTCATATTGTTAAACAGAATAAAATCTATAACATTATGATAAATAATTTATTCATTTCTCTTGTTATTACGACATGCTATGTGCTGTATGACGAGGCAAAAAGAAAGAGAGAAAAGAAATACTAAAGCGCCTTCTCGTTTTCTTTTTCTCTTCAGATGACATGAGTACTAACGTCTTGTTTGACAATAATTAATATTCAAAATTATTTTTATTATAACTAAGAGAAATATCATAGCAAAATAACCCTATTATTCTACACAAAAATGAAACAAAATTTTCTTTTCGAAAAAATATTTAATATTAAAATTAGTTATGCACTCTTATTTATTTTTTTCATGAATGACCTGTCATGCGTTACATTTAATCAATACATATATTTTTTATCTTAAGCAAGGTTAGTTTTGACATGTCTGTATTGATAAGGCTAAGAGAACATGTATGATTTATAGTGATATTAAATAAGAATTATGTAGTTTCTTTTCAACGCATTTTATTCTTTTTTGTAGACATTTAGTTGACCTATCAAAATAACAAATGGATGATGACTTCTACGATGCCGATGGTATTTAAATAATATTAAACTAGTTCTTTATATCGAATGATACATCTTTCAAAATATTTTATTAAATTGATTTCGGGGATACAATGTGAAAAATATTCTTTCGTTTACTTTTGTTGAAAGTAAATCCTAAGCTAAAATAATCGAGATCTCTCACAAATCAAAATTCTAAGTATGTGTAGTTTTAAATACTTAGATGAAAAATTCTATAAATAGTTTATTCTCCATAAACTTACTATAAGTTGAACAAGAAGTATAAGTTTTCTACTGTATCTGTCTACAGTTTCTAATACGATATAACCATTTTACTAGTAACAAGAAGCCATAATTTTGAAGTATAAGTCTTTAGTTCACTTGTTTTTATTAGAAATGAATTCATAGAAGAGATTATTTTGTAAAGATTTTATAGGTACTACAGTGACGGATTCAGAAAAACTATTTTCTAGGTAATATAGTATCCTTTTTGATGCTTTTTTCCGAGAAAAGAAAGAGAGAATGATCGAATCGTCAGCCTCTGATAGACAAATCAGATAGAAAGAAACTATTTGCTATAATAAAACAACATAATCTTCAAGAATAAGAAAGAAAAGATATGTTTTTGATTTAATACAACAATAATTGTATTTATATAATTTGATCTAATCAAATGAAGATTTTCTTTTACTGAATTTACCCTACTCTGAATAATCAAAACAAAGACAAATATGTGGGGAATATTTTGAAAGTATTTAAACAAATAATTGTGTTTTTATTATTATACAGATGTGGATCATTATACCAATGGTATTCGACGAGATTTATCAAAAGCATGGAATAATCTTGCACAAAAACAATTTGGTCGGTATGTTTATTTCATCTAAGAATGATTCATCATGCAGAAAAATACGCGTGATTTAAAACGATTAACTAAATTACTAACTATCTTTGTTCTTTGATACAATAATATAAAAGAGAATGATATAAAACATCGTTTAGATTTATTCGATATATGCATTACTTTTCCGGATGAGTGCGCAGATAAATCCATGCAAAAGTATATTCTTTATAATTACTATTATTCACCACTATATCATTATTTTTTTTTCTTCTGTTCTTTATGTATTCGAAATAACGTATTTGAAGAGAGACGAGTATTTCTTTTTCTTTTTATCAACCATTATAAACCGAGTTATAAAGTACATTATTTATTCATTGCATATAAAAGTATTTCTAGAAAACACAGATTTTACTTTTTTTATCATGGCATCTGCGGAAAGTCTTTATTCGACTTTACAGAAAAGTGGGCATAGGTAAGTAACTTTCATATTCTATTTACATTGAATATTATACAGTCACTAGTCGTCTATGTGTCAAGGAGTATAAATCCTATAATAGTTTTGACTTGTCCTAGATAAAATGAGACAAATTTCATTTTCTTTATTTTGAATTTAGAACAAAACTTCCAGTACCAATGTTTGATCGATCACAAATAAGTATTTGGAGTATACTTAAACAATGTATTGGAAAAGTATACATATCTATACAAATATTAAAGTGTAAATTATTAGAAAAATATTTTTAGGAATTATCGAAAATAACAATGCCAATTGTTTGGAATGAACCTGTTTCATTTTTAGAACGTTTTGCAGAAAATGTTCTTTATTCTTATTTACTTGATAAAGCTGATGAATGCACTGATCCAATTATGAGAATGCAGGTACTTTAAAAATCAAAGATTATTACGTTCTAGAACAGTTATATCTCTTACATAGTATAAAACATAATGAATCCTAAAATATTCGATCAATTAAATTCTGTTTTTTTAATATATTATTATATTTTTCTTAAAAGTATGTTGCTGCATTTGCTGCATCATCCATTGCAAGTAATATTGATCGTTTATCAAAACCATTCAATCCATTACTTGGTGAAACATATGAATATGATGGGTTAGATAATATTTATTTAGTATTTCTTTCTTTATTTTATATTTATTTGTTTATATTAGTGATGATTTACCACATCGTTTTGTATGTGAACAAGTAAGTCATCATCCGCCAGTAAGTGCATTCGTATGTGAATCAAAAGATAATGGTGCTCGATGGAAATTTTATGGAAGTATATTACCAAAAGCTAAATTTTCTGTTAAAAATATGGAAGTTAATCCAAAAGGATTATTAACACTTGAACTTAAACGGTATTTTTTCACAATTAAATAGTTAAAAATCTTTTAAAAGATTTCGATATATTTATAGACATAAAGAAGTTTATACTTGGGAAAGTGTAACATGTACAGTTCATAATATTGTTGTTGGTCGACTTTGGTTTGAATATGTAAGATTATTTTAGAATTAATCTTAATAAAAATCTATATATATTTTACTATTATAGCATGGTACTACAGAAATTGTTAATCATACAAATAAAATCAAAGCAATATTAAATTTTAAACCATATTCATGGTCATCAAAAGAATTACATAAAATTGAAGGTTATATTGTTGATTCTCAGTAAGAAATTGGGTTTTTCGTTAAGTAATATATAAGATCGATTCTGTTTTTTTGTTAGTAAAAAAAAAGTACGTGGTTTATATGGATATTGGTCAGAAGCATTATATTCAATTGATATCGATCATTTTGAGTCATTTCTGAAACAACAAAAAAAAGATGCAAAACAAGCATCAAAAAATCCTCCACAACGTACTACAAATTCAGCATCATCAAGTGATAATGGTGATCCAGATGAAGAAGTACCTGATGTTGATTTATCACATGAACAACTTAATCTTCCTCCTAATTCTATTACACTTTGGCGAATTATACCTAAATTAGATTATGCAAATCAAGTAAAGAATAAAAAAAAAGAATTTATTTATAAAGTAAACGTTGTTGTGTTTTTTTTAGTATTACAATTTTTCAGTATATACTATGGCACTTAATGAATGGACTGAAGAGGATCAAAAAACACGGCCACCATTACCACCAACAGATTCACGATTTCGTCCTGATATTCGTCAAATGGAAGACGGTAATATTGATAAAGCTGGAGATGAAAAAAATCGTCTTGAAGAAAAACAACGTCTAGCAAGAAGTACAATGGAAAAACGTCGAGAAGAATGGCAACCAAGGTATGTTTATAATTGATTGTTACAATTATATGAACTTTTTCGTTTTCTTTTACATATTAGATGGTTTCGTCTTGCTAAACATGAAATAACCGGACAAGAAGTATGGGTATCAAATGAAAAATATTGGCAACGAAATTGGTCAAACTGTCCAGACATTTATTAATATTAGTGATTTTATTTTCGACGGTGCTCATTTTCTTTTCTCGCATGGCTATTTTTGTTTTTGAATGTAATTTCAATGCATAGATAGACTTTTTTTTATAGTTGAATATAATTTCAATCATCATATATATATATATACTCGAATTTATTCGGAACTAAACAGATAAAGAAGATTTTATATTATCAACAAATATAACACAGTTATCCCTAAATAATGCAATTTATCTAATTAATATTCTGTTGAAAGACGTACATGTTTCTTTCATAGATAGTCCAAAGAATTCTCGATTTAATTTTTCATAAAAAATATGCTAATATAATTATAAAATATTACTATTTGTAATTGAGAAGTCTTGTAGTATGTTGATGAATATAGGGGCGCTAGATCAATCCATCGCATTATTCTTTTGTTGTGTATTTCTCTTTTCGGCGTTTGATATTGTAAAGGACAGAAAGATTACTCAAATCATCAGTGTTAACTGAAACATAATTTTTTTAGCCAGCGAAATAAGATCATGAAACTGAGACAATTAAACCAAGATAGACTAGATAATAGAATGTATTAATTTAAAAATCAGCGTAACTAATCAAAGGTCGAAACAGACATGGCTCATATCCTTCTAGGTCGTGAAGACAAACCAAAAATGAATTTTATCGTACATTTAACGAACGAATTGTATAATTAGTTCATGGAGAGTGTAAGCAATCTCGAATCTGTCAATAGCTGAAAAATGTTTCTGCCAAAATCTTACTCCGATTAATATCAACTTGGCCTCCATCATTTTCTCATTATTCATTTTGTTTATAATCGACGATACTAAAGTAAATAAAACATCTATAAGATATCACTCTTACTCGTTCGAAAAAGAATTATGATAATAGAATTATGCGATCAATTGTCATGCGACGATTTGATCAGTCACCATTAAAACATATGCAATAGAAATATTTGCTTGCAAATAATATATCGTATAAGTTCATTCGAATAGGTAAAGTTATAAAAAAATTAATTCTCTTGCTCTATTCAAACAATATCTTCTCTTCAGATACAATATTAGACATATCAGCAATTCTCAAGCAGATTTCTTAACAAAAATAAAGAAACTGATCATAAAACGCTGATACATCAATTATTTCAAAAAGTATTTTTGTATAGATATCAAGACTACAAAAAATAGTACATTTCTTTTAAATACTATAATACTTACATCATACCTTTCAGTTTTATCTTATGCATATATTGTTCATCTATACAACCCATGTACATGTAAATCATTGACCTGTAATTATACGCATGAATTATTCGTATGCATCGTTCATTTCTGAAGTATGAATATATTTTTACTAATACGTACATATCGATAAAACTTACCCTACGTAAACTGAATAATAGTGTGGATGTGGATATTGTATTCACCTTGCATCCACACCCGCAAATAGTATTAGACATACACAACAACACTATGACAATAGTCTGCATATAAAAAACCCTTTCATCCATAACTTTTATCTTACATTATTGAGTTTTCCGGTAAAAAAAGTCGAACGTATCAGATTTTTTGAGGTTGTAAGCAATCAAAAATGAGTTTTTTTTTACATAAAAATTTAAAATGTAAAAATGGTATACCATACAATTGATAGAGTTTTTCACGCTCTATCGAATGATATACCATACGATTTTCTCCCATTTTTTATAACTTCTATCTAAAAAACTAGAAAATTTTTGAAAATCACTTCAGGGCTTAAAAGTTTTAATTAATTAATAACTTCGTCAGGTATATTATTGAAGGTATTCTCTACAAACTGTCAAAATTTTAAGGTATGTTTATAGAAGGACCCCCTCCCCCCTTAAATGATATATTCTGTAATACACATTCAGAAATTGATCGAAACGTCGTCGAGCATACTTTACGTTCTGTTTCATCTGTGCTTTTACCTGAAAGAATAGAAAAAAAGATTATATAAGAAAAGTAGGCACTATAGAAATGACCATGACATATACTATACATTTTGTTATTTTGAAGTATGCTTTTATGATAGTATAAATACAACGTTATTTCTTTAGTTTATTCATTAAATTTAAATATAAACACATCTTCGATACAAATCAATATGCCATCTTTTCAAGTAGTTGATACTTATGTCAATGAAGGATTCAAGGATACAGCAGAAAAAATTGATTCTTATCCACAAAAAGAACATATTATAGAAATGCGTGATGGTGATACATTACAAGTTGAAATGTCTGTTGATGAAGCTCAAACATTAGCAACATTATCACCGCGTATTACAGTTACATTTCATAATGTTTCTAAAGTTATTAATGTTCCTGCTAAAATGATTGATCCATCATCAAAAGAACGGTTTATTGAACGAAAATTACTTGATCAAGTTTCTGGACAAATTCAACCAGGACAAGTAGTTGCAATTATGGGTCCATCAGGTTGTGGAAAAACTACATTACTGAATACTTTAGCTGGTCGAGCATTGAATGGTGTTACTGGTAATGTATGGTTTAATGATCAAAGTTATGATAGAAGTATGAAACGAAAACTAGCTTATGTTCTTCAACAAGATTTATTTTTTGAAAAACTTACTGTTAAACAACAACTAACATATACCGGTTTACTTCGATTATCCAATCATTTATCTAGAAGAGATAAATTAGCTCAAGTTGAGAAAATTATTGATCAATTACATATTCGAGGGTGTGCAAATACTCCTATTACGTTGATATCTGGTGGTGAAAAAAAACGTGTTAATATAGGAACAGAATTATTGACAAATCCAAGTGTTATTTTTCTTGATGGTAAGTGTAATAACTGTATTATTGATTATAAGTAATTCTATATTTTTCTTATACATATAGAACCTACATCTGGTTTGGATAGTACATCAGCTGTAGCATTAATACATGTTCTTCGTGAATTAGCTATGCAGGGTAAAACAATTATTACTTCTATTCATCAACCTTCATCACAAATTTTTCAATCGTTTGATCAATTTATTCTTTTAGCTGACGGAAAAACTATCTTTATGGTAACTATTATAATCTATTTTATTCTATGAAAACTTATTTTTTTTCTATAGGGTAAACCATCGAATGCTCTTCCTTATTTTGCTACGTTAGGACATCATTCACCACCACAATATAATCCAGCTGATTATGTTATGGATCTTGTTAATCAAGATATGAAAATTCGAGAAGAACTTAAAGAAGCATATCTTCAAAATAAAATAAATACAAACGTCAAAACTATATCTAATCAATTACAAAAACAACAACAATATCAATATTCAACAGCTGGTAGACAATATCTATTAGCTGAACCATCTGGAGATGTCGCAGATCTAACCAATCCAGATAATGTTAATTTAATTCCATCTAAACATGAAAGTAAATGGCCAGTAGGATTTTTACCACAATTATTAATTCTTTTTTCACGTGCATTTCGATTATCTGGAAAAGATCAATTTACACGTCTTAGTTTTATACAAGCAATATGTATATCTGTAATAACTGGTTTATGTTGGTTTAGAATGGATTTTGCTGAAAATACAATACCTGATCGATCATCATATATTTTTTTCATAATGGTATTTTGGCCAATGAATACATTATTCGGTGGTTTATTATCATTTCCATTAGAACGTGATGTTATTGAAAAAGAACGTGCAAGTGGTTCATATCGTTTATCATCTTATTTTCTTGCTAAATCATTAGCTGAAGGTCCATTAAAACTTATTTTACCAACATTATTTCTTATAATTTCTTATTGGATCGCAAATGTTAATAACAATTTTGGTATATTTCTTGCTATTGTTGCTTTTCAACTTCTATCAATTCTTGTTGCTGAATCACTTGGTCTTCTTTTGGGTGCAACAATGAAAAATTTAGAACAAGCAATTACAGCAGCTACGATACTTATTATGAGTTTAATGTTAGTCGGCGGATTCTATGTTCGAAATTTACCACATTGGTTAGGTGTATGGGGAAAATGGGTATCATTTTTCAAATATTCTTATGATGCATGTCTTCAACTACAATTCAATGGTCGACATCATTATAAATGTGTAGATGGATCATATGTACCTTTATGTCGAAATAATTCTAATGGTACATTTGCTAGTGAAGAGGCATTACAATATTTTGATATAGGTCTCAGTATTGGTCTCAACTTCTTAGTACTTTTTGGAATGTTTGTTGGCTTTCGGTTTCTTGCATATCTTTCATTACGATTTATAAAAAATAATTCTGGCCGTACATAATTGTAAAGCGTATACTTTTTCTTTTGCTTACATGTATCATAAAATTTCATTTTTTTCAATATAAACTCAAAATATATGTAAATATCTTATGATATGGCTATAGTCAAGTTGACCTGATTATTGTTTACTTTCATTTACTCTTATATATATAAGGTTATGTTTTTGTACACTTCTCCTTTAACTTATTTTTTGTTTATCATTTATCAGTGTCGTACTAGATAATGAATAACGATTAAAATATAGTTTATGTCGATTTTTGATATATGAGAATTGCACATTCCATTCGTTTTTACAACGTCTGTAAAACAAATCAAGTGTTAACCTTTAGCTTAGAAAAAAAATAAACGGGTTTATTCGAAGAAAACAAACCCGATCGATAAAAAAAATAAAAAATGTTTAAAAATCGAGCCAAGCTTCTTTATTAGTTGAACTTAATAATTGCATATGTGTTTGATTAGCTACAAGTATGGTTCCATATTGATCAATAAATTCAAATTTTGTAGGTCTATAAATATTTGTAAATAATTGACCAAGTACATCACCATTTAAATCTTTAATTTCCATCATTAAATCATCGTATAATGAATAATAACGATGAAATGGATCAAGTAATATTGGTAATTGTGGAATATCGCTTTCGAAATTATGTCGTGATACAGCCCAACCTTCTTGTCGTTGTACATTTGCTTGTTTATTACCATGCCATAAAACAAGAATATTTTGACAAGCAACACCAAGAAAATATGGTGCACCTAAATATGCACTTGGGCATGTATGAACTGAACCATGTGTTATTGATCCATCATTATCGACTAATGACATACGACACTAAAAACAAATAAATAATTGAACTATATAAAAAAAATATATAGAGTAATAACATACTGAATGATCTTGTGGATCTAATTGTGTATAGATAATTTGATGTTGTGTTGTATTTGTTTCAAATTTTGTCCAACGTTCATTTATTAAATAATCATCATCATGTTCATTAATAGTAATACCTGTTCGTCGATCCGAACTAAAAAATAATCGTTCACCTGAGTGTGTATTCACAAGCATATGTTCAAGATTACGATTAGCATGATCTGTCCATGGATATTGTAAAATATTTTTTGTCAATAAATTTTTATTAAGACGTTCAATAGGACTAATTTTTAATTCGTTTTCAACCCAATTACGTGTTACTTCAAGACAACGAAGACCATCTTGTAAATTATGACATGAACAATGATGATTTGTTTTACATGATTGAAGACAACGTGAATGACTTGGAATACAATGTGATGGATTTAATGTAGAACGAATAAATGATGCTGGGCATACACAATGATGTGAATTACTTGTTTTTACACAAGCTACCCATGGATCTACCTAGAAAAAGAGATAGTTAGATTGTTATATATATATATAATATTGAAATCAATTTAATTTTGACATACATGATCTTTAGATGATAATCCTAAACTAGATTCGATTCGTTCGTCTAATAATTGACGGCATGTATTTCGTCGTGTAACTGTGATAACAAGAAGTGCCGTACCAATAATAAGAAGTGATACCAATAAAATTGGATAAAGATATGATGTCAATCGTAATAAACGAGGTTTAAGTAAATGTTTATCATCATTATAATCATTATCGACATGCATTTGTAATTTTTTATCACCAGAAGACGACGACGGAGCAGGAGGAGGAGAAACGTTTGAATCCGAGGTCATTGTAAACGACTGATATACACACACTTGATACGAATCGATACAAGAGAAAAATGAAATAAACAAATCTTTTGATATGCATTTAAATAGTATATAATAGAAGAAGAGCGACAGAGAGAGAATTATAGACTATTTTGAAAATATACATAGAGAATCAACACAAAAGATGTTAACTGTTTACTAGATGAAATCCAGTTGTAAGTTAAATCGATAGAAGAAGAAGAAGAAGATAACAAAGAAAAAACGCGTGTTTCATATATTTACATACAAGATCGATATAACTGGAACTAATTAATAAATGTATGCTATTTATAAAAGAATAATCGATTCAATGAGTTCCATATTTTATCAAAGTAGAATTTAATTTTATTGACTAAATATTTAATACTCCAATCGTTGTGTTAATAAGGCAAACTTTAATAATAATTTATGACGTCATTCAAAACAAAAAAAACTAATATATATTTTTTGCCTACGTGCTTCTCTTTTAAAAAGAATAGTCAATCAATATTCTAGTCATTGTTTATTTATATAAATTAAAGCATAAATAACCGACATTTTGTTTCTGATATAAATATAAGTCTTAATATTATGAATTTCCATTTAAACTAATCATTTAGTTATTCACTGTCTTTTCTTTTTCTTATCTAAGCTTATTACACAACATTATTTCTGATTGAAACAAAGACTTAATTATTATGATAGTTTATAGACAACTAACGAATTCATGAGAATGTAAAATAGATGCTAATCGAAACGCATGAACAATCATTACATGACTTGTCAAACATATAAGATTGCTTAGGTTTCATATGGTGTTTCCATATGTTCGCTGTCAATAATTCGTCGAGATACAAACGGATCTCGTCATCGTATTATAATATATATATATATCTATACAAATACATTTATTCGAATTGAAAATGGAAAATAATGTTAAGATGACAGATGAGAAAAAGAAATGTCGAGGTATTATTGATAGTCATTTGCAGAGAAATGAGAGATATCAGAAAATAAGACGATGGATGACTTTTTACACGTCTTATTTCCGCTATCAGCAGCAATAGCAGTATTAGAAGAAATAATAATATGTATGTAACGAGTACTGTTGATTTGTTTATTCGAATCTATTGCTCTCTCTGTCTCTATGTCCTTCCTTTTTTTTCTTCTTCTTCTCTTCATCAAACAGAGATAGATCTGGATCAGTAGATGATACATGTGTATCTCTACATATATGCATGATAGTTGTATGCTCAGTTGATAATATTTCGCGATTGACATTTTCTTTGCTCACATGCTTCTCTTTTTTTTCTCTTCTATTAATATATATATACATATATCTAGATACAACGATTTATTGATTCGTTGATATCTCTGTTTCTTTTACTGTTGTTCTTGTCACTGTTAACGACGACAATGATTAATCATCTTGGTGAAGCAATAGGACCTTTGTTTTACTGAACAGTTGTCATTCTTGTTATTATCCCTGCGGCAAATAGTTTAGCGTTATAGTCTCATTGTGACTATATGAAATATCGGAAAAAAAGAATCGTAAAATGTCAAGCTTCCCTTGATTCCTCTCCTTTTTTTTTTTCTTTTACTTAAAGTATAAAGCCTTTGGGTGTTTCACGTTCACATTCAAATGATGACAGATGACGATCGTCAAGGAATAGTAAATATTACGAAAAAAATTATCTTTTTCCTTTTTTTTTTTTGTATTCCTTTTATCCGTTCTATCTTTTTGACACATTGAAAATGTGCATCTACGTTAATCAGTTGAAAGATACTATTATGCTCGAGAGTTCGTCAAGGTAGTACCGGAAAGAAAAACGACATTAACATCATTGTACATTTGTCTTCATTTATTTTTTCTTTGTATAAAATTCTATTCATTAAAAAAACTGTGACCTCGTTATAGGGAATATTCAATGCAATCATTTCCCACAAGTAGAATTGTCTCAAGGAGTCATTATTTCAAGTTACAAACAGATGCATCAACAAAACGTGACTATGTCATACTTAGTAGTGTTTTCTAATGCTTGTGCTTTTCTTCTCTTTTTTTTTCTTCATCGTCTTATCTTTCTCGCTCTTTTACTTAATAGTTATTCTACCATTACATCAGCCAAACGAATGATGATGTTTTAGTAAATAGTTAGAGATTATCTTTTCTAGTAAAAACTTTCATGTTCATTTAAGAAAAATATGTCAGTATTAAAAACGTATGTACTTTCATCTTTTTATTTTCAGCTTTCTTTTTTGCTTTTATATTAGCTCGTATTTTTGTTGTCTTAATAGACGGATTGATTGCTCGTTCATCATGCTGAATATTGATGATTAGAAACAGAGAAAAGAAGAAAGGGGAAAAAAAGCGGAAAGAAAGTAAAGATTACTTAGTTTATCGATCGAGTGTTCGACTCTTGATGTCTTCTTCTTTTTTTTTTTCTCTTTTTTCTATATTTCCTAATTAATAACGAGATGCAGATTCGATCTTCTTGTCTACACTACGACTGACTTTAGATTGTCTGTTGTGCAAATGTAAAGAAGTTATATTATCCAGTAGAGAAAGAGAGCATAAGTTCTTTGACCGAGACAATGAGTAAACATAGATAGGATTGGTAAGGTCATACATGGATAATAGCTTATGTCACTTAATGTTCATTTCTTCATATAAATATCCATCTGGCCATTTTTACTATCTAGTCTGACGTATTATTCTAGTTTCATATTGGCGACAACTGTTGATGTTTACTTGACATATTCTTTCTACCATCACTATCTCAAACATCGTTTAGAAAGATAAAAAAATCCGCAGATGTAGAAACAATGAATTGATAGTGCTTCGGATACTTTGATCAATGAAGAAGAAAATTGTATACAATTATTAAACAAATTGTAGTGTATATCATATAATCTTTCTTTTTTTATCTTCATATATTGTTAGACAACATTAGCTATTTTATTTTCAACAGCCATTATTTTAGTTTCATTTTAAATATTTGTTTTCCCGCAGTCATAATATTTTCTTGTAAAAAAAAGAATCCATGAATATAATGTTAATATCCCGGATTTTTTTTTTCATTATCTTTTTATATATTAAGTAATAATAGTTACCTGTGTAACGTCATATAATAGAGCACATGTCAAATAATAAAAAGGTTGCAGTAGAATAGCAACACAAATGTCGATGATAATGATACCCTCTTTCTCTCCCACGCTAATCGTCTTGATATGTGCCTATTCCGAAGATATATTCTTTTCGTTTTTTAACGCCTAACAATCATTGCTCAAGTTCTATTATGAGATGAATATAACATCTTATAAGCGATTTACACTTCTCATCATTCACTGACGATGAGATGAGATGAGATGAGATGAGATGAGATCGATCAAAAAGATAGAAGTAAACACGTAGTGTATGCATGCGCAAGATATTGGTAGCGCACTTGCTTGGCAGTTAGTGTCACTATCTATAGGAGCCGCAGGAAGACAGCAGGAGAGAAAGAACGTTACCAAATTGAGACAAAAAAAGCGAAAGAGAAGGAGAGAAGAGAAGAGAAGGAACGATAGAGAGAGACAGGAAGACAGAATACAGTGTGGAAGAAGCACAAAGAATTTCATTAGTGACAACGCGTAAGATGCGCGCTGCCAGTATTTATATGTAGGATCGAGAGCGATCGAGGAGAAAGCTATGGTATTGTTCGCATCTTCTCAAAAATGCGCAATTGTGCTTGCATGCGTTGATAATAATAAGACGACGGGGACCGAAAACAAATCAAATGTAGCTATTATTTACTGCGGTTCATTTGTTTATGTTTTTGCAAAAGAGAATTCTGACTACTTCTTCTTTTTGCCTGCTCTCAACTTCCATTCAGGATTATATTAATAGGTTCTTCTAGTCTATTTCCCTTTTTCTTTCTTCTTCTTCTTCTTCCTCCTATTTATTATCATCATTCTATTCAAGATAAAATAAATATAAAAAAAAAAGATGAACAACTAGATACCAATTTATTTTTCTTCTTCAAAGCATACCTTTGTATGTCGACATTTATAGAATTTATCTAGTGCCGGTCTGGCTATTAGTCTTTTGCATTTGCTATTACTATTATTTAACACCGTCCGCATGTCGCGCGCTATTCAACGTCTTATGAAAGATTATCGTAAGGCGGAAAAGTTGGTAGGACGTTCATCAAATGAACCATTTGCTGATTTTGCTAATGCAGCTTCATTTACAACACAAACATACGCACAAACAATGGCACAAATAAGACGTGATCCAGAATTAACTCAAGATGAAAAAAAATATCTTGTGGCAGTTGAACGTAAGTTAAATCTATTTCATCTAAGCATACTATTCTATGATACCATCTTGTGCATAATCAATGAATTCTTAAGTAGATCTCTCCGACATACATCATTAAATAAAGAATAGACAAAACAAAATAAAATAAAATTTATATTTGTAATTAGTAGATAACATAGACATGCTTCAAAATGCCTTTAGGCAAGAAAACATTAAGCATGGAAATTATATTAGAAAAGTATTTCACCTAAAAAAAAGAAAGAAAATACAAGAGAGACTCATGGAATTTTTTTCTATCTTTAAAAAAATAGAAAGGATAATGATATAAAGAATTAGTTGTTGTAACCATGCAAATAAACAGAAGCTAACATATGCTTTTGCATTTCTTGAATATTTCAAGAGAACAGTACGATTAACGATATTTGTGTTTATAGGTGGTGATATGGCGACAACTCGTCGCTATCTTGATATCGCCTCTCGACAATCAACAGTTTTACTTGATGATGACATATCATATACACCAATCAATATTAATTGTCTTGATCCATTAGGACGAAGTGCACTTTCAATAGGTTCATATTTAGAATTTTATTTAACAACGAAATAAAAAAAACGAATCTTTTATATTTATCTAGCAATTGAATATGAAAATATTGAAATGATTGAATTATTACTTAGTTATGATGTTGATACGGGTGAAGCATTACTATTTGCAATTGATGAACAATTCGTTGAGGGTAAAATAACTATTAGTTTATAGCTCATTAGATAATCGATACATATAATCATATTCTTGACAGCTGTGGAATTACTTCTTCAACATGACGACCTAAAACAACAACAACAACAACAACAAACGCAACCGAGGAACACTATCAGCGAAGATAATACTAGAGTAAGTCAATTGTGCTTTTTGTTTATTAATGATAAAGGACATTATGTGTCTGTTCTGTATCATAGTTTGATAGATTTTATCAGCACTCAATTTGTTATTATAACCTAGATTTTATTTCGATGCTCAATTATTTCTTTTAAGGTCATATTAAAATTATTATACAATACTATGAAATCAACATAGTGAAATTCTAACCTTAGTTATGCTCATAAATAGTTTTCTATTTCATATTAATTAATAATCGAATAAATTGTAGTAGTTTACATTTAGTTATATAAATTTATGCAACATAAAAGAAAGAAAAACAAAAAGAGAAAATATTCTATATGAACTAATCAATTATGTAGACAAAAATTAGATCAAAGATTCATATTTATTAGCTATATTTTTGTTTTATTTTAAATTTAAGTATTCAAATAATACGGGTATAAGTGATAAATCGAATCCATTATTCACTTTGGCTCAAGATGAATTAGAAAAAGAGAAAAAAGAACAACCACCAACACATGATGTTTCTCAGAAGGTAAGCGGTAGTTTCCTGTACGAGTCTTTTTGATTTCGTGTGTGTTAAATTAACGCATGCTAAATATAAATGTATGTGTCGGGAGTATAGTTAAAATCGGCTTGGTCTTATATTCGTCCATCGAAAGCAAATTTGGCGTTAAATGATGATGGTACAGGTGATGGCACTGAGGTGGGTACTATTATTATATATAAAACAAAATAAACCATTCAACTAACAATATACAACCTGCCTTCTATTTATTCCTCATATATATATGCCAATTATTTTTTTTATCCGATTGATATCAGCTATCTACTGCTTGGAAAACACCACGGATCAATTTATATATATATATATATATCGATATATGTATATATATATATATATATGTAGATCGTTTACTATATAATACTTTATGCTTATTGTATTTATTTTGTAGTTCAGATAACACTTCATGCATGTATAATCCTTGATTATCTCATAAGCAAATCCGATCAATATATTATCATTTTTCTTTTATCAATTATTTCCAATATATATATATATTTATACCAACATACATCATACCTATATACAAATATAATTTTTTTTTCTCCTTCTCTTTGTCTTTCTTGTTTCGTTCTTCTTCTTCTTTATGTTCTTTGTTTTTAGAATCCGAAATCTAAATGGGCATTTCTACTACAGGCAGTACGAAAAAAAGAGCAGCAGCAATCGGTAGGCGTTCATGCCCGTTAAAGAAGCGAGAAATCAAACTATCGTCTTCTCTTTTTCACTCTTGGCGTGCATGACATAATTGATTCATATTTTGATGATTGTCGTTGCTACTATCACTCACATCCATAATAATACACACACACTCACACACACACGCACATGCTCTGTTTTCTTTTTCTTGTTGCATATCTATTCACGTACACATGTTAGTTGTTGTTGCCTTTTATTTACACTCACGCAATCTTTAGAATATCAAAAAAAAGATCTATATATAATTTTTTTTCTTGCAAAGAGCTTGTCTTGCGTGTGTGGGTGAATATCGATATGTTCGTATTTGAATGTGTTTGAGTAATTAGATTTTTTTCTTTGAATTTCAATTGAGCACGACAACAACTATCGTCAATATATTTTTCATACAACCTATAGCATACCTTAGTTAAATTAGATATGTCAAGAATATAATCTAATAAATAGCATACATTCCATCCATATCAATTATACTCTAGTTTTTCTCCAAATAAAAACCTATTTGCACATTGATTGTATGTGTGTTTGTGTGTGTGTGTGTGTGTGTATATTTATATGATCTTATATTAGTTATAATTATATATAAAATTAGAATGTATATTTTTTTTAGGTATCTGAACAACTTAATTTGAGTACATCTCGTTCCTATACGCCTGATATTACACCTGTTATATTGGCTGCACATCGAGACAATTATGAAATACTTAAAATTCTACTTGAACGAGGTACAACAAGAGTTCTTTTATCTTATATTCTAAGAGGAGTCAAGAGAATCAAAAGAATAATTTCTTTTTTTGTCAATAGCATCAGGAAATCTTGTATTAAATAAGATTAAAAGATAATTCTCGAGGAATATTGTCAATTCATGAATGGATGCAATTAAGAACTAGTTTAATACTTATGATATAGAGACTATTTATTTACTTTCATTTCATAATTACTCGAATATGAGTTTTTAATGAATCAATCAATTTTTATTGGTCCCTAGGGAATTTATTTCTATTGTTTTCTTTTTAAATCAAAATATGTAATTGAAAGAAAAGACTAAATCGTTTTTCTAAGATGTTTGTATAACTTATTATAAGATTGAGCAGTCCATTTGTATTAGTCAAAAACATTCTCTTTTTCGTAGACAGTGAGCTTGACATTCTCCCTTTGGATCGAACATTTATACTCTTGAGATAATCCAATTAGTATTCTGATTCAATAAAATATTGATGATCAATTTTCTATAATCTTCATTCGTTCGTAGACGAAAGTAATACAAATTTAATTTTTTTTTGTAGGAGAAAAAGTAACTGAACCTCATGATGTTCGTTGTGATTGTGAAAAATGTCTTGTGTATAATAAAGAAGATAGTTTAAGACATTCACGATCACGTATAAATGCATATAAAGCATTATCATCACCATGTTATATATCATTATCAAGTCGTGATCCAATAATGACCGCATTTGATTTAAATCGTGAATTAAAACGTTTATCACGTATTGAAAATGAATTTAAACAAGAATATGAACAATTAGCACAACAATGTCAAGAATATAGTGCAGCTTTATTAGCTGAAACACGCTCATCAAAAGAATTAGAAATTATTTTAAATTATGATGCAGATAATCCACCGGTGGTATCAGAAACAACTGAAAAAATGCATCTATCAAGATTAAAATTAGCTATACGTTATAAACAAAAAAAAGTAAAATTAAAAAAGGAAATTTCTATAATAATAATGAATATTTATTTAAGTTTGTTTCACATTCACATTGCCAACAATTACTTGCATCTCTATGGTATGAAGGTTTACCGGGTTTTCGACGTCGTCATTCAGCAATTAAAATATTAATTACATCCCTTGTTGGTTTACTTTTTCCAGTATTATCAATTGCTTATCTATTATCGCCACGTAGTAGTATCGGTCGTATTATGCGGCAACCATTCATTAAATTTATTTGTCATTCAATTTCATATATTTTCTTTCTAAGTATGTATCTATTTTCTAAATAAGACGAGAAAAATACATTTATCTTATCTTATATTTTTCTAGTTTTATTATTTGTTGTTTCATTACGTATTGATTTTGGTAAAGTATTATCTGGTATTGAAGATGAAATCAATGAAAGACGCGGTCCACCACCTAATCCAGTTGAAATAGCTGTAAGGAATATAGGATTACTTGAATTTTTTTTATCTTATCAATATTCTCAATTAAGATTATGTTTTATGTTGCTGGATTTATTTGGGCAGAAATCAAACAACTTTATCAAGAAGGATTGCATCAATATATGGTAAAAATAGGAATTCTTTATTGATTATGTAATATATTACTTATTTTTCTAGGCGGATACATGGAATTTGTTAGATTGGATTACTAATTGTCTTTATTTAGCTACGATAGTTCTTCGAGTAATGGCGTTTATCAAAGTAAGTCAATATTGTCAAATAAGACACACATAAATTTTATTTTTGTTTTTAGGTAAATCGAGAAGAACGTGATCTTCAAGGTAGATTAAATAGTAATAATGGTTCATCAAATGTACATGATATACGTCCTTCTAATAATTTATCATCGGAAGCACTTAGTTATTCAACTGGTCATAATGTACGACGACGAGATTGGAATGCATGGGATCCAACATTAATATCCGAAGGAATATTTGCTGCAGCGAACATATTTAGTTCATTAAAACTTGTTTATATATTCACAATAAATTCACATTTAGGACCATTACAAATATCTTTAGGACGTATGGTAACTGATATATTAAAATTTAGTGTACTTATATTACTTGTTGCATTTGCATTTGCATGTGGTCTTAATCAATTATTTTGGTATTATGCACGAATGAAAAAAACTGAATGTGAACAAGATACAACTCCTGATGAATATTGTTTAAAAGAAATTCATAAACATTTTTCGAAGTAATTATTTTTCTTTTATATATAATCTTAAGTATTTTCTTTTTCTTAAAGTCTTTTTGAATCATTACAAACATTATTTTGGGGTACATTTGGTTTAATTGATTTACAAACTTTTAATATATATAAAAAACATACATTTACTATGTTTATTGGTTTACTTATGTATGGTGTTTATTCATCTATAATGATTATTGTTCTACTTAATATGCTTATTGCTATGATGAGTAATTCTTATCAATATATAGCTGTATGTTTTTAATTTGTTCTATAAAATAGTTTCAAAAATTTTGTTTGAATTATTTAGAATTCAACTGAAACAGAATGGAAATTTGCACGGTAATAAAATTGAGAGAGGAAATTATTTATTTTTATTTTTGAATATCTAGTGCAAAACTTTGGATAAGTTATTTTGAAGAAGGTGGTACTTTACCACCACCATTTAATATTGTTCCAAGTCCAAAATCAATTTATTATGGTTGTTCATATGTTTATCGTCGAGCATTTGGTTGTTCAAAAGCACAATTAAGAAATCGATGGCAAAGTATTAAGGTATAGTTGATAGAAATATTCACAGTATGAAGATTAAACGAGCAATTAATTGCAAATTAAAATAGTTTTCTTTCGTGAATAGCAAAGTACGAGATACTAAGGTCTTTTAGTCTCGGTCATAATATAGAACAAACTATTTATTATTTACATTACATAAAAAAGCAAAATGTAAATACTCGTTTTTCTATTAATTTAATCATCGTTATTGACATTTGTTTCGAGTAATATGATTTGTAAAATATTTCGCTAGATACGAATTTTATCATTCAGTCTAAATCTTAGTGATTCGAGTCGGAATTACTACCCCGTACATCCTCTAGTTCGATAAATAACATTTTATTTTATTATAAATTCTAGAAATTACTTAGTAAAATCAATGAACGGGAATTAAAATATCAAACTGTTATACGTGAATTAGTGAAACGATATATAATGAAACGTCAACAAAAAGATCAAACTGAAGGTGTAACAGAAGATGATTTAAATGAAATCAAACAAGATATATCCGCATTTCGGTATAGAATTTTATTTTTCTATTATTATTATCATCATTGATTTTATTATTTTAGTTTTGAGTTATTAGAAATTTTAAGTACAAATGGTTTAAAAGTTCAATCAATGAAGAAAAATCCAGGTTTGTATATAAATATATATATTTCATGTTATAAATTTTCAAGTTCAAAACTAATTCATATCTTAGATACAGGCAAATTTGAACCTATAGAGGAAACAATAAGATGTGAGAATATTTTTGCTGTGCATTTTCTTCTATGCATGTTGTTTTTTTCTATTCTAATTCGAAAATATTGTTATATATTATATATTTTATGATTTATTTTTATAGCTGCACGTGTTGGTCGTAAACGTGGTAAAATGAATCTAGAAAAAACAATTAATAAAAATATGTTCGATGTATCACAATCAATTCGTGATACAAATCCATTACCAACAACTGATCTACTTAAAAATGAACAATATGATGGATCATCACCACCAACATCATCGCTATTATCAAATCCAAAACAAAAATTAACAGCCCAATTTAAACGTGCTATTACAATGATTAAACAACGAAGTGAACCAACACATGAAAATCCTCTGGGACAAAATCCAACATCATTATTAGATAAAACAACTCATTCATTAGATCCAACTCTATTAACGAGTCTGATTGAAGAACCAATTGCTGAGGAGCAACATCTTTCACCGACAGAAACATCACCATCTCGATCCCAATCCTTTATTCATATTGAATCACCAAAAGTACATTCATTATCAAATTATGATCAAGATATAAATACAATGACAGGTGCAACTGTTATTAATATCGAATCAACTATATCAATAAAAAAAGAAAATGGAAATTTTTTAGCTAATCGTAGAAAACAAAGTATACAACAAACTCAATCATCAACACCACATACATCATCATCACCATCATCATCGGTAACAATGAGTTCAACACCATCATCATCAACAGCAACTACAGGTGAAATAACTATGTTAGAGACAAATTTGTAATCATATTTAATTGTTCTCTAATATAAAAAATTTTGCACATATTTATATTCTTCCGTACACCTCTTCGTTGTTTTCTTGTTATTCGTCGATGTTGTTTCAGATGATGTAAGTTTTACACGCTTAAGTGCTTATGGGCTGTAGCAATGCATGGCCGACTAGAGTACGATTTAAGGATACTTAGAAACTTTTGATCAAATATTTATTAACGATATGACATTGCTAACATAGATTTTCTAGTCTCATATTGGCCTACTTTTTAATATCGCTGTGACATTGTTCAAGATTAACATATTCTATCTTATGTTTACAACTAAAATGCATGTATTATAAATCCCAAAGCTTCAGTAAATATTAATAGTGCACTTTTTATTATTAACGAATTAGGAAATGGAGCTATGTGATAAAATTAGTTTCATAATAGAAGTCAGCGAAAAAACGCATTTTTATTATATTAGATTACTTCATCTTCGATGTTTTATTTTCGATTAAGTTTTAATCTGAAATTTGTTTTTTAGGATATCTTGGATTGTTACGTATGGGTCGTGCACCAATGGCTTCTCCTGATCCACTTTCCTTAACTTCGGACGAAAGTTGTCAGACTCCTGATCTCGAACTCCTATAACTTCAATCCGATGCTTGTATTTTCTTTGTGATATGACATTTTCTTCTAACAACAGTATATTATTGTTTAAATGTATATGCAACATATGATGCCTTAATTTTCCTCTATATACTATTTATATGTGTGCTGTGTTTCTCTCTCTCTCTTTTTTTCTTCTTCTCTTGTGAGTTGCCCATTATCAGATAATGTATCCAATATTATAAGTATAGATCTAATATACATCTTATGTTGGCTTTTTCGTTCCTTTGATATTTGTATAGTGTTTTTTGTTTTCTTAAATTAACAAAAAAGATTATTTTCAAAATAAGGTTAATTCATAAACTCAATTTCAATCCTTTCAAAATATTTCATCAACGTTTCCTCAATTGACTAATCAAAACGATGATAATCATCTACTGTAATAATTCTAAAAAAAGAAGTGGCATCGATGATCTGTGATATACTAGTGTATTGACCTATATGAAATACATCGTACATTAAGTCTTTTAGAAACTATTGCGCAGCTAGATTTGCAATATCCTCAAATAGATTATAATTAAAAAAAATTAGCTTCTTTTTCCGATTTATCTTCACATGATTTGTATCGAGGTCAAGATGATTCTACTCGACACTCTATTTTAAAATGAATCTATTTTAGTAAAAATAATGTTTATATAATGAAAAAGTACGAAATAATTCCAAATATTAAATTCTTGTAGTTATAGATTTATTTCAAAAGAAAAGAATAATAATTATAACTGTTGTTAACGTTTGGAATTTGTGGGATTTTGATATTGATGAAATATATCTATAAAAGGAAAAAGAATTCCAATTAATATAAATAAAATATATAGAATAGGATGTGTCCTTTCATATGGAAGTAATCGCTGTTTTTCTTTCACATTAGTTCTATTTCATTGATATAATATAGATCAAGGCCAAAAAAATATATTATGATCTGGTTTGAAGAATTACTGAACCGAATTAAAAAAAAAGTTTATTATATTTTTTTTGCTCAAACAAAGAATATCGTGGTAGAGAAACTTTTGCGACTATAAACCATTCACACTGTTTTGTGCGTATGATTAAAAGTGTACATTTAAACGGGTTTTTTCAAAAGTCAATCTGCTTGGATATTGCTCTAATCAATACTAAGTTTCTGTCTTTCTTTAAATAAATCGATTACAAATGAATTGTCTAATGGAAGAATTAGCCGATAACTATGATATTTCACTTTACTATTAATATTCAACAGTCTCATATACGATGTACTACTAAGAAAACTTTTAAGAATAATTCAAAATTTTTTGCTTCCTAATTCTTATTATACAACGATAACCTCGTAATGAATTACCATAGTCTGTATTGTATTCATCAGCAGAACGACGCCAAAGTTTCAATTGTTGAACTGTATCATGATATAATTTCATCTTTTCAAATAGATAAAATTTATAAAAAACAAAAAAGTTATTTTTCAATCTTACTCGATCTACATGTCGATCAGGGCCATTATTCATTACATGATACTTAATTGGACGTACTGGATCTGTTAAAATATCTTTTTTTTTTACATTGATAAAACATATCACATATATATAATACCTGATGAACCTCTATACAGTTGGTAAGCATTACAAGATGAGAATATAATGACAAGGAGAATAGTAAGAGACAAAATGTAATATTGACGATTTTCTGCCATTGATTTGTCGGAAAAGAATAGTAATGAATTTAGGATTTTCTAAATATGTTCTCTATTTAACATTAGTTTGTTTTCTAGACTAATAAATATGATTGACATTAATTAGTTTACATTTTTCTTATTGCTTTTGACGTTTATATCGTCACGCAAACGTTTTTACACAAGAAAAAAGCATATTGAATTATGTAAAACCTTCATGTTTAATAACATGTGTCATGCAATATTATTTTGTGACAAATATATAAAACTGATAATTAAATTAACTATTTTTGAAGAAAAAGCAGAAGTTCTTTTCATGAATATTTAGCATATAGAAAAGTTATTTTAAGCATTTCAAAAGAAATGTACTTATTTTTTTCTATAATTAGTGCGTAGGATGTTTCAAAAATCTAATTCAATGAGGGTACTATACAAAATATTTGTTGAACTGTTCGAAAGATTGACATATTATTGGTTTTATATATAATAAATTATATAACACTTCCATCTTGAATTTAATTCTTTCAGATGAAGTCTGTAATAGATAGAACTACGTAAAATTTCTAATAATATCGAAGAAAATATGATGAAATGCTCATAATAGTTACTGTGATTATTTATACAATGTTTCATTCTTTTTCTTAGTCAGATGTTACACACAATGTATCATCTATTACTACTACTATTACTACTTAATCATTGATTACATAGTGCGATGCGTCTTATTAAAACAATTAGAAGAGAAAGTTTTAATTTTCTTTGCTATCTGACGATTTCTGTCTCTTGATTTTCTTCGAGCTTGTGATCAGCGAGTTTGCGCTTCGAACTACTTGTTGATTATTGTCTCAAACTAGGTTTTAGATTCTCAAATAGCATATCAACGAATAAAGATCGTACAAGTCTTTCACAAAATGATTGCATGATGATATGACTTCGATTTTACTCAAAATCTGTATACTTACTCCGTCATCAGTAGCTCGGAGATTCAAAGTTCATTTCTCTCAATGAGCTCGCATCCTCTTTTGCATCAGTTTCTTTAAATAACATGCGAAGTATTCTAAATCTCCGATCACTTCCATATATAAAAGAACAGAGAGATGAGAACAAATACTAAAGAACGGAAAACTAGTCTGAGAGATCATTCACATCATCGTCAAAAGATGATGAAACGATTACTAAGAGCATTTATTAAAAGTTAACTCTCGATAGATGTGCCTATGTCAAAGAACTTTTCTAAGAAAACTGAACTATGCTGAATGTATTAAAACCGAAATTTGTCGTCAGTAACATTCTTGAGTTTGCATTCGGATTAAACATGTGGTACTAATCTATGTCTACGATTGGATCGGTTAAAAAATTCTATAAAAACCTAAATCAAACTGAATAATATTTATGAGAAACCTCAATAGACAACAACATTACAGATAATATTTTCTCCTCAAATGATTTCAGTTATATTTTAATCAACTAGTCAACGGATGAAACCTTAAAATTAACCCTTTGAGGCCCACTGTACTATATATAGTACACTTTTTTATTTTTTTAATAACTCGTGAACGCTTTTAGATATTTGACTGCGTTTTTTTTTAATTTTATAGAGAAAGTTACGGCGTGTAAGTCTAGGTGAAAATTAAAACTGTTACAAACTCATTTATGCAATGGACATGATTATAAGCTAAGATAGTAAAATAATTTATATCAAATGAAGCTATTCACTAGACAAGCCGTGGGCTTCAAAGGGTTAATAACCGAAAAGTTTAACAAAGAATAGATTCTATCATTCTCTTTGAAGAATTATTGAATTTGTATTAAAAATTAAAATTTAGCAATATGATCGATATGATTTTATTGAATTCTATTAGAAAATCATTTATTCTGGCACTTTACGTAAAAACCATTTATGAAGTAAAAAGTCGTATGTAAGAGTACGTGATCGTCCTTTGTCTTTTTTCATTTTATCTGATCGTGAAGAAACTGATTTCGATTGACGACGCCATTTTGGATGATATTGTTCAATATCATCTTTAGCTAAAATCTATAAAAAAAATTCTTTATTTAGTTTCAAATAAAAATTCAAATATATTTACTGTTAATAAATCATCATTGACAAATTCTTGTTGAGATAAATCTAAATAAAAATAATATATATTTTCTAAGAAATTAATTTATATATTAATCGTTACCGATTGATAATGAAAGATTGATTGTAAGAAGAAATACAATAAATATGCTGGAAAATAATAGATATTTCATATTATACAATAAAATAACCTATTCAATCTTGAAAATATATTAGAATTAATCTTTTTCTTGTTATGACTAACTTTTATAGACAAATAAAATAAAAATAAAGTGTTATTTGAAGTACTATTGTGAATATAATAAGTAGCTTTTATAGAAAATGGAAATATTTATGATAATTATATATCATCAACTCTTTTAAAAGAAATTATTTGTCTACTCCTAGTTAGAAAGCTTATTAGTATATTTTTGCATGATATATTCTTTCTACCTGATGTATTAGATAATTTCTTGTTTAATAGGAAAACAAGACAAAGTTTATCATTCGTGAAAAGTCATAGACCAAAAAATAACTAATTGATTTCAAAACTTTTTTATCATAATGGATTATAGCAGACGCAGTAGAATAATAATACAATTAAAATTTATATGAAGACGATTTGTATTAGTAATGATTATATTGATCTAACGTCTATAACTAATAATATAGATAGATTTTGTTTTTGTATGACAGAGACTCTAAAGATTTTTGAATACATATTACGGTTCTGTAGTAGTGGGCGGTGAACGAAAGCAAATGTTCTTTTGTGTTTGAACAAAAAAACTAATAATAGTCGATACAATGTATAATGAAATCATTAGAAGTGATACTCTTTTTTGTAATATATCTATTGTTGATTTGAATAATAAAGAACAGGAAATTGATGTTTTAAAAATAAAATTACTCTGAATGTAGTTCTCGAGTAGTATGTTCTACATAATTTTCTATGATATAAAATATATCATAACCCATATTAGTCTCTATTACCATATATATATATCTTACTAGTTATAAAAATAATAGATGAAATTAATGAATCACAATTTTGTGCTTTCGATGTAGATAAAAAGAGAACGATTAGAAGTTAACATGGTTTATTATGCACGTTTTACTTTCATGAACTATAATATTTACAGTCTATTAATTCAATTAAAAACACTTGCATTACCGCCTACGTCTGGTGTTTTTAGAATGACGTTTCAAGTCTCATATAAGAGTCTATTATGAAAATTCATGATGACGTAAATTTTTAATAAAAATTACTGTTTTTTTTTGAGAAAACAAATAACATCAATATTTTGTCATACTATACCATTTAATATGTAGTCATGGTTTCCAATTGGGGGAGGCGGAGGACTGGGGGATCTAGCCTTCGCAAAATTCGAAAAGCTGTCTGTCTTTCTGCCAAAATTCTTAAAGTCTTGCTAAAAATTTGGTCAGAAACCTGGTTTTTATGCTATTTTTCCGTCCGAAACTCCAATAAAAACACTTTTTTGGGGCAAAATTCCGCAGAAAGTGTATAGCTTAAATATTTTCTACGTTATATGCGCCAGAAAACTATATGACGGCACTTTTTGGCAAAATTTCTGGACTTTCTGCCAAATTTTATCTCCCCGCACTTCTGAAAACAATCAGGAACCCTGTATGTAGTGCCAGATTATCAATTAGGCATAAATTATTTTCAACTCTCATAATGAAATATATCCTTCGATGGTTTAAAATTGTTTTTTTTAAATTAGCTGTATGAGTATTCAGTTCTATTTGGATACTATAATATGATAAAATTTGTTTTAATGTGTTGTCATACGGTGATCAAATCTATCGCTAAACCAGCAGGCCATTAACAAAAAAATTCAAAATTTCTTAACTATTATAATATTATATAATAAAATGATTGATGTTGAAGTCAATTGAAAGGTAAAACGTCAATTAAAATATATGTATCAATAAATATCTTATACCATTTGTCGGACAAATCAATATACAATTATATGATATAATAGTTTTATTCAAAAATATTTAACTGAAATTCTTTTGCATTTATATCGTTGAACTAGGCATTCTAATATTTTTATTCAAGAACTTTTCATGATAATTAACATTTGTAGATAACACAATATATGCCTTCAATTACTGACAAATTTTTATGAATAATATCAAACAACGTATATTATTCATTAATTAGAAGAAGACGAGAAAAAAATAATGATGTATGTATATATTTTTTTTATATACATAAGATAAAAATCAAAACATTTTTTATTCTAAACATTAATATTCTCCTAAATGTCATTAGTAATTATATTTATATTCCAAAAAAATATCCAATTAATTGTTGTCAAGGACATATTATATTTTATGGTCTATCATTAACTATTTTTACAATTTTATTTTACTCATCATAATGATCATCTCATCTCATGGGTTAATTATGATTTGTATAGGCGGAGATTTCGATTAGTTCAGCTATTGATAGAAATAAAGACAAACAGAGAGTACGATCGATATAAATAGGTTTGATAGATATTTATGATGGCATCTTTTTCACGACGAGTTACGCATGTATCTAGTCTGTTTTCAAGACAGAATATATACATAGATATGTATCAGAAACATGAGTTTGATGAATGTTAGTCAGCTGCTAGTTATATGTGTTTGTCGGCGACATCCTATCATTGAGTCTAGATATTCTTTTTTTCTTCTCTTTTACTCATAATTATAAATGAATGATAGAGACAATCATCGATCTCCTTTAGTGTCACATAGACATTTTTAAATGGGAGGATCTTGTCAAAGAAATGAACAGTTCTTTTCTTGTGTTATAATGAATGTATATGTGTTATTTAAGAATAATTTTTGAAAAGGGATTCTTATTCTTTGAACGAGCGTTAAAATAGAATAATAATAACAATTGGATATAATCGAAACAAACTGTCGTTGTTATTCCGGCAAGTGTCTATCTATCCCAATGTATGTAACACCAATAATCATCCATCTGTCTGTCACTCGTTTCCTTATTTCTTTTCTTTTTCACATTAGATATGTGTTAGAGTCGGTAACGCCCACCCTCGGGCATACCTATATGGCTCATTTCTATCAAACGAAACCCGTTTCTTTTTCTTTCTTTTTTTTTTGCAAATGACCCAATTATCATTTTGATGTGAAGAAAATGAATAACAATAGAAGACTTTGGTATAGGTGATAATTCACATAAAGAATGTCTTCATTCTATTTCATTGGATTTGTAGATTTCGTTCATGAATGACAGTTACACTCGTGTTCATTTTCTTGTCGATTAAATATCATCTAATGTACTCTCTTTCTCTGTCTCTCTCTCTCACTCTCATTCTCTTTTTCATATACTTCGTCTCGAAAGTGATTTCATTTTATATACATATTCAACCTATACCTATATGATGGTATGTCACACTCATCGTCCCTCTCTTTTTTTTCTCTCTATACTGTCGATTAATTCAATGATTGATTGAATATAGAGATAAACAAATATCAACATCATCAAGCAAGTAGATGTAACTAAAATGATGAGAATCTTTCGTTTTTCTTTTTTCGTACTATTTAATAAAACTTCTTTTTTTTTACTTGATTTATCTATCGGAAATAATTTTATGATAATCATCATTTATTAATTTATCTTGTATATTGTTCAATATCGATCTATTCATTTAGAAGAAAAAGAAATAGTTGAAATACCACAGTAGGTGGTATATAAGATGATAAAACAACCCTCAAAACTCGAACTGTTACATCATTCATCAGCTTTTATTTCTTCAAACATTGCTACAAATAAAAATTGCCGCCTTAATAATTCGAATATTTCGACAACTAGATATTAACTATTTTATCTTTTATGATAGAGAAAAAAACATCTATACTGTTTGTTTCGAATCAACTATCATCGTATACTGAATAATAAAAAAAACCTATTAATTACATTTTTTTCTTCTTCTTCCTCTCTTTCTTTGTATTTTTTCCAATCAGATAAGACGTTCTTCTCTTTTATCATTGGATAAAATCAACTATTTAGTCAATCAACCAATCCAATTGCAAATAACTTCAGGACAAAAAAAAATGCAAAAGAGAGAGAGAGAAAATTGATGTCTCTTACTTTCTCTCATTTCCTCTCGCATGAATGCATTTATCTGATTAGTTGTTCGAAGAAGAAACTAGAATACAGAAATTGCCTTGCACATCGAACCATAAAAAAAGAAAGAGACAGCGCGAAAAGGAAGTAAGTAATAACAAAAAGAAAAAAAAGAAAAGAATCTTGCGATCTACCCAGTCATACATAGAAAAAATAGCTGTTGTTATCTATGTTACCGGTCGACGCGTGTAACTTGTAGTTTCAACAAAAGATCCTATCGTAGACAAGATATCAAAAATTTCGATAAATCCTTTTCTATTATCATTACATTCTTTATTCAATTAGATTATATAAATGGATACATTTGAAGCATCAGCAAATCATCGTAGTACATGGTCAAATTATCCAACAGATTGTTATTCAACTGTTGACTATTATCGTCCATATGGAACAGCACGTAAATATAATTAAATCATTAAAATAGAAAGAATATTGTGAATTATCTTTTTTTTTAAAGCCCTTACATCTCTTCCATGGGTTGATACAAGTAAATACTCCAACTGGCCATCACAGGCATCATCAACATTTCCTTATTCATCATCTCATTCTCAACCACCAAATGCTCATACAAATTTTCCTTCAACAAATACAGGAGCATCAGCAGTAAATCCATCATCATTCGGTCAAACATATTATCCACCAACTCCACCAAAAGATTTTCCACATGATACATTACTTGATTCATCAAATAAACAACAAAATCATAATATGTCTCCAGCAACAAATTCAACAGTTTATCCATCTCATCATAATTGGGGACATGTTCTTAAAGATTCATCTCTTTTTTGGTCAACTATGAAATCATCACCAGATTCTCAAGCAAAAAATTTTAATTCAAAGAAAAAACCTAGTCAAGGTATTTATCGAATTTTTATATATGTAACAAATAGAAAGATAAATGAAATGTTTTGTTTTGTTTTTTTTCTTTATAGCAGAAGGACGGGAATGTGTTAATTGTGGAGCTAAAGCAACACCATTATGGAGACGTGATGGTAATGGAAATTATTTATGTAATGCTTGTGGACTTTATCATAAAATGAATGGACATAATCGACCATTGATTAAACCAAAACGACGTTTAGTGAGTTAAACAAAAAAAAAATTAGAAATTCAAATTTTATTTTCATTTTGCATTATTTTTCTTCTATAGTCAACAGTTAAGAAAACAGGCGTTCATTGTTCAAATTGTAATACGAGTACAACAACATTATGGCGTCGAAATGGACATGGTGAAAGTGTTTGTAATGCTTGTGGATTATATTACAAACTTCATAAGGTAAAAACAATCATCAGTAACAAAGATCAATTTAGTCTTTAGGACGAAAAAGGAGGAGAAAATTTTTTTATAATCAAATGTGTTGATGAGAGAGGGAAAACAATTAGTGTAAAATCATTTCTCACAATTATATGTGTGAAAAGATTTGAATATCATTTAAACTTTCGTTTTCTTTTACAGATAAATCGTCCAATTGCATTAAAAAAAGAAAATATTCAAACACGTAATCGAAAACCAAATACAAAACGTAATGAATCCTGTAGTAGTAAAGATAAAGATTCATTTCCTTATGGACTTTTAATGAAGAATGAAGCAGCATTTAATGGTTATCATGCTCAAGCAGCTGCAGCTATGGCAGTTAATAGTGGATCATCATCACCCTCATCATCAGCTGCTTATGCAGCTGCAGCAGCATTTCATCCTTTATTTTCAACATCAATGTTATCATCAATAGGTACAACAGGTACATCAACATCATCTTCATCAACATCTTCATCACCAATGAAACCATCCTATATGACAAATCAACAGCATCATGGTGGACTTTATCCTACGTACTTTTGAAATCTATATATACTAAGAAAGAAAAATCTGTCTTATTTTTTTATTTCATATTCTTTCTCTCTATATAAATTTTCTTTCGCATGTTGTACATTGTGTTTGTTCATTTATATCAAAAGTCTTGTTTTTCTTTTTTTTTTTGGTCTTCATTCTCTAATATAGCAGTAATAGATTCTGCCTCAAGCTTTTCGTCATTCCATAAAAGATAGATATCACAAATATGCAGCAAGCTGTTTTAGCCTCTCGTCTCTCTCTCTCTTCTCTACACGTCTATAACCGTTAAACGATGATCACTACTAACATGGATATCTATCTATTTATCTATCTATCAATCGATCTATCTATTTCTTGTCGCCCGAGGACACTCCATCTTCTTCTTATACTACGTTTGTTCATTGAATCATCTAGGTAAACATCACCATATGGACACCGTTATGGTTGAGTTCATTAGCGGTATATAGAAGAAGAAATGACACGATATGGGCGGGCAAGTCAATCGAATAAATGAAAAATCTCATTTTGTAAATGTATAATAATGAAAAGAAAAGAAAAACAATACTCTACATAATAGATATAAAGAAATTGATTAATAAATTCATCATCAAGGTCTTCTTTTATATGGAGAAGAAACTGAATACATTCTTTTTATTATCAATCTTATTCAATGTAATCAACACATATACTAAATTGATGATTTCTGATAGTCATATTAGCTGATGTATTAATCCGATTTGATGTAGAAAATGTTAATGAAAGAATATAATCGTTAATGATTGAGTCATGATTACAGGTACGTGTAAACTTCACATCGAATAATCATTTTCTTTCTTTTTCATCTTATATACATGCCAATGTTGTCGGCATCATTTCTAGTAATTTCGTTTTTTTTATTGCCTCTACCCACCACCATTCATTACTCGCTGTGTGTTGTCGACATAAATGTGCTAACGATACAAAATATCGAACCGATAATCGATAGTATTGTTTGATGATGTGCTATTCTTTTTTCTTGTTCTTCTTCAATCATTATCAGCTATTCTCATCATCAAGGCTATGTTGGCATGTTCGTGTCAGTTACGCATCAATCGCTATTGGATCCACCGGTTCTTCTTTCTATATATCGGCAGGGTGTGGTTATCACTATCTATTCCTTTTTTTTGTAGAAAAAAAAGAAAAGGATACATAACCCGACACCATCTGTAGATTTAACTTTGACCAGAAGGCAATTGAACACGACACCATTAAGCTAGGTATTATACACAATAATGTTTAAACACGAAACCATCGAGTGACAAAATCGTATTTATCTCTTCTTTTTGTTTTTTCTACTTGTTTGATCTTCTTTTTTAACACCTAAACACAACAGAATCGATTTGCTTCATTGAACACAAAACCAATAGTTCATTAGATTTGACACATGTATTGTCTATATATGGATGGGAAAGATGAGATAAAAAAAGAATGAATGCTTCTTAATAAAATGTGTTAAAATTAAGTAGATATTTAACAATTTGGTTTTTATTCTTTTTTCTATTTTGTTATAAATAAAGATTCACAAAACTGACATGCTGGGCAATTAGCAAGACTCTTTTCTCCAATATAAACATTGCCGTTATGTTCAATTCATTAGTACCCAACGGCGAAATTCAGCTATCGTTGATCTCTATTCAGCTAGTAGATAATAGTCATGTAATTCCATGGAGAGAGAGAGAGTGGATGGGTAAAAGAAATAGACTGGAATGAAAACATCACGCAGACAAATACAAGCAAATGTGTTACATGATGAACTGATCGATCCCTAAAGCACTATTGATCGTTCATCGGATCTCTTCTTTTTTTTTTGTTTTCTATGATTTATTATATCCTTAGTTGAACAACAAACTAAATAATTAGCTTTCTAATAATGATAAGACAAGTCGAGTGTAAGACAAGATAAGGAAGAAAGAAGACTTAGTAATAGTCTGGTTGACGGAATGCACTTATGTTAAGAACAAAAGCGGTATGACTTTGATCAATAAACATAGAGGAAAAATATTTTGTCTATTAAAAAACAATAGGAAATAAATTAATGTTCGATTTTTGAATTCTCATTCGTAAATTTGATAAGCATCAAAGAGTTGTGCTTTATAGTATCTTTTATTTTCTCATACTATATTGTACTACCAATGAAATTCTTCATGACAATATTTTACTTATACTAAAAGTAATATATAAAATGATGATATTGTAAACTAATTGCATGTACCTTGATGAAAAAAGTAAATTATCATTATGAACGCATTTCTATTTTTTTCTTCATTTGTAATTTATTGATTAGTATCATCAATATAACTAATAGATGAATGTAAACGAAATATTTTCGACAATTTTCTATGGCCTTTTAGTAACTATTTATATATAGTTTCATCATTATTATACTTTGATCTATTTAGATAAGAATATCAATTTATGCATTTGAATAAAAATGTCGTATTTTTATTAATAATACTATTAAAATTACATTAGCTTATTTTTTCATTTATTTGAACGATATTTTGAAATGAATAACATTTTCTAAGAAGACTTTTCATATTTATTGAATTATTGTTATACTTGAATGAAGAGTAAAACTTAGAATTTACGAAAAATATACTTTCTACATCTATGAAACTGAAGAATAAACATTTTCCTATAAAATCAAAGATTTAAACTCACGATGGTTTTTACTTAGTCATAATGTAGTTAGTGAAAAATCAATCGAGTTTTTTCTTACAGTTGATATTCTAAAAATACCATAACTACATGCAAAAATCTAATACAGTATTATTGATTTCGAATCTTATTGAAAGCTGTTTCAGCAAGCGATGGCGCCAGGAATCTTGACTAGGGTGGGCTCAAACAATTTCAGGATGGGCTGAGCTCACCCCAGCCCATCCTTGGCGCCGCCACTAATTTCAGCTACCTGTTTGAAAATTGATTTAAATTTTCAGATATTTTCTTCTGATATCTAACGCCATCTATAGGACTTTAATTCCATTGATTTATTTCTATCAAATATTTTCGACCTATCCATCCTCTATAGTTTTCATTCCTGTCGCTTTTTTTTTATAACAGTGTCGTCATCATCTGACGTTTTTGTAATGTATTTGTGTAGAGCCTAGATAGCAGCAGCTGTAATACTAATAATAACGATAAAAACAACAACAGTGAGAAGAAAGAATTATCTCTTCGAGGTTGATTATTTATCTGTCAAATTTAAGAAAAACAAAGTTTTTCTTTTTTTCAATTTATTACTAGAGATACAATATTAGAATTCTATCATGATATTATTAAAATAGTTTTGTATATGTATCGAACGGATAATATATCTTATTTCCGATTCCAATGAACTTTCATTATTCAAAAAATACGACGCACCGTCCACAAAATACTTCTTCACAGTAAGTTACAATCTATTTTGTCTTCATTTTCTTAAAAGAAAAAAAAGAAAGTGAGTTCATTATACTAATGAATATATTTCATATGTAAATTAGTTTCAACGAAGACGCACGCTGTGATAACGAAGTTAATTTAATTTTGGAAAAAAATTACAATCAAAAACTTTTTGAACAATCGATTTATCCTGAACAAACGCAACAACCACAACAACAATCAAGGTAAACTTTCACATCTATGCATATTCATAATTATTCAATGTATATTTTTTTGTTTATAGTGTCGTCGTAAATCAAACAGATCAATATTATTTTATGCCAATTCGCGAACAAAGTTCAACAATGGCTTTACATACCAATAACAACTCAAATGGTAAATATAAAACTTCTATTTGACTGAACCCTGAGTCTTCTTTTCTTTGATAAGTTAACACTAGTGGTTTAAAATATAAGATCCATTGACAACAGAAAAAAAAACAGTAACTTTAATATACGTTACTGTTTTGAAATAAGCCTTTTCCTAGAGAATATACTTAATTAGTACATATTTTATTGTTTTTTTTATTAGAAACGGTCATAGGTCACCTATGACATGCTTTAATCCAAGGTTAATCATTTTCTCAGTGATCCAATTCAAGATCTACTGATGTTAATATATTTTGATTTGTACTTGTTGAAATGATGGTAACAATCATTTCATTCTTTACAAATCATAAGATGATATGATCAAAATACAAATTGAAAGTGCAATATGTCGTGACTCCATCCGTCACGGCCTCTGATTTTGATAGTCATCAATTAAGAGGAAACGATTTTGCACAGCTTTATTATCTTAAAAATATATCTCTAGATAGTTGGAACAATAAAATGACGTTAACCTTGTTCATATACTGTTTCGAAAAAAAATTAATTATATTATATTTCATTGGAATAAATATAACATCTATATCTTCCTAAAAATTTTCATCAATTAATCCATAGTTATTTTCTATTGAAATATTTCATCAAGATTTCTATTTTTTTCTGTTAAATTTTATTCAATCTAAGATAGAATGTCAAGGACGATGTATGAAATATTCTTTGAATAATTTTAGTAGTCGATAATACATCAATTTCAACAAGTAATCATGATAAACCGTCCAAACATGATTTATTTGATTATTCTACAACAACATCAAAGACAAGTTCATTTGCTTCAACATCATTAAATAAAGGAAATAATAATTATCATTTGGATGATACTGATCTTGCTGGACTATTTGCATCATCTATTGTTTCAATATCCCGATCAACTACAGCTATTGATAATAAGAATGATATGACAGATAATCCAAATACATTAGATGATTTCTTTTTTCAACAAGTTAGTGAAATTGTTTGTTCGCCTCAACAAAATGTTGGACCACCACCAGGCTTTGAAAATTTTCATTTTGATGCATCATCATCGGATAGTTTAACAACAGTATCATCAATTAATGCTGCTAATGTTGTTCAATCACAAGTCTCTACTTCAGATACAATCAATTTTAGTCAGTTATTACCATCGACCAACGTCGGTAAATATTATTAGAAAAATATTTCGTTTTTTGATTTATTTTCATCAAATATTTCAAAGTATATTTAGATACTCAACAGCAAACATCAATTGGTGGTAATGTTCGTTCATCGTCATCATCTCATTCATCATATACATCCGATGATCAAACAATTTTTTTTCCAATGGCTGCTCATCCTTATTCATCACCAAGTCAGATTTTTCCCATTAATACAAGTGTATCAGCAGCAACAAATTCAATAAATTCGAATGCGAAACCATTTATACCCAATAGTCTTTCAAATCATGAGAAACAATTTAATTCATATGATAAAAATCGTTCTATAAGTCCGAAACCAACAATAATGGCCGATACTGATACAATATTAAAAGGTGGAGATGCTACACCAAGCCATGTATTTGCATCACCAACTTCATTTTTTAGTAATAGTCATGCAGGTATGTAATTATTAAAGTTATTTGATATATATAAAATATAACTAATATATATTTTCATAGATTTTGCTCCAGCAAAACCATCATCGAATAAAACCTCATCTACAAATCGTCAATCATCATCATCAACTTCATCATCAACATCATCTTCGATTGATGAAGCACTTAGTCAACTAAGCCAACAACATTCACATGCACGAGCACAAACAACTAACAAATTATTTTCCGATGAATCATTATCAATATTCAATTTTCCTCAACCAAAAACGACATCAACACATATTGATAAACAACAACGAGCAGTATGTGATAATATTAATTTTCTTGCTTCAATGGCAGCTGGTTCAACACCAGTAACACCCGAATCACCTTGGCAAAAAACAACTCATTCCAGTTCGAATTTACAACCTAAAATACAATCAATACGTCAACAACAAACTATTTTACCACAATCACCTGCAACAAGTTCTTCTTTTAATATGCAAGAATTACAAGATAGTTTAAATGAACTTTGTTATCGTGGTTTTGATGAACTCAATGCTCTTATACAAGAACAACGATGGGTAAGGTTAAATTTCAAACATGATGAACAATCTATTATCTGATGTACTTATACATGCAAGTCGTTTCCTTGAAGAAAATAATCTGATAGCGTCAATAGATGACACTAAGGTTTTCAATTATTAGTCTTTACTGTATTAATGTCTTTCTTCCTGACCTTAAGAGATTCGGCCCTCTATTTTTCTTGTTTTCTATTTGTATATTCCATAATATTTTCTCCATTTCTTTTGTTTTCGCTCTATCGGAATTGACAAACTATTATTATTTTTTCTTATCTATCAAGAGACCTTCTTACTTCCTTTGTCTTATTATGTATCATAAATACTGAATGGTTATCATTTAATTTACATAATAATCTGTGAGTAAGAACAACGCATAACTGAAAAAGACGGAATATTATCTAATTAGTTTTAATATAAAATCGAATATACTATTGTTGAAAGCTTATGAAATAACTGTCTAATATATTCAATTCCCTTTTGACTCATTGATCATTATTTTATTAAATTCTTGAGGATGTGGGTGGGTAAGGATGCGGATGTGAATGTCAATGAGGGCGAGGTAGAAAGGGTTTGTTTTGATTTCAAACCTCCATCCACACGCTCGTTTACAAGTGTCATCGTTCGTATACTCAAAGTCTTTTTACTTTGTATCAATCATCCGATTGTCTTTGTTCGTATTAATTTTATCATTTATATATATGAATGTTTTATATTTAGGTACAAAATTATCTAAATTTGAATTCATCATCATTGCCAACATCTAATTCACCATTAGTAAATATAAATGGTGCAAGTTCTTGTTCATCACGTATATTGATTGTACCAGAATATTTTATATTTAAATGTAAAAAAGTTGAAGTTACTGTAAGTTATTTAATTATTAAATTCTATTTATTGATTATTATCTATATAGGCATGTCATGTTTATGATGTATTAGCTACTGGACGACCGGAATTACGTTTACGAGATTTAATGTTTGTTTTTAAATCATGGAGAGAAACAATTGCAAATGCCGAATTTGTTCATCAAGAAGAAGAAGTGAAATTAAGATTGAATACGGAACATTTTCCTTCATACTATATGAATGAAACAATTCTACAAGCAGGTAGATAAAGAATTAATTAGGATTTTATTTTATTCTATCTGGAGAATACTAGAGTTTAAACATCAGATGAATTCCACTATTTTTAGTAATGTCATTCAGTACGATTCTTTTAGATTAGATCCTTGTTATACTCATAAGAGAGTACATCCTAGGTGGTCTAATTGTATATCTTCGGTATAATTAGAACAGCGGAAGTCTGATACATTTAAATAATAGTCTGATTGCATCACTTGTTCTTCTTCCTTATTCTAATTTGAAAATTCAGATATGAAATTTTCATTAGCTTAATATTCAGTCGAAAAAGACCTAGTCAGTCATAGGAATATAAGAAGTAAGACAAATTATTTATTAAGCATAGACATATATATATATCTGCTTATAATAAATGAGTTAGCTATATTTATCCCAGGATGGATAGTATCAAATAATAATTCTAGATCTAGCCTCGTTAGTCTATACAGGAAACAAACTGAATTTCGTAGTCTTCAAAGATAATTAGATCTATATTTAAGTATAATATAACTTAAACAATTTCTACTCAATTATACTTCTGTATAGGATATAAACTTCCGTGATAGTATAAGTTGATATTTGCCTGATTAGGAAATATATTATATATAACACAAAACAATTTATAATAAATTGAATGTTTAAAAGTCATTCATTCAAATAAGGACAAGAATTTAATGCAGCTTTCTTCTAGAAATTATATAGTCTAATGTTTTTGGTATTTTTCTAAAAATTTAGCAATAGCTTGTATCTTTTGTTTCAAACTATATGAATTACTATTAACAGACCTTTTTGTTCCTTTTGATATTAAGATACATTACTCAACAATTAATTCACTTCCATTGAAACGAAAAAAATACTTCAATTTCATAAGAGTTTTTCTATAAATATATTCTTCAATTTATATGCTAGTCTATATCTTTTTTTTAAACATATTGAATGATCTCATTGTAAACTTAATCAAGAATATAGAGATGGAATAAACTAGAAGTGTAAACGGAAATTAATTAAGAAAGATGTTTATATTTTTAGTAGACTGCATTTATTAATGTAGAAGTCCCTTATGAGTTCTAGATGAATACATTTGTTTTATTTTTAAGTAGAAATATAAAAAAAAGCACTCCTCTAAATGATACTGTATCAAACATTTATGAAAAATTTACTTGATGAATTTCTCAGAAATCGATCTCAGACCTATACCATCATGTTTAACTGAGCTATTCACTAAACAAGATTAAGAAATAGTTTATTGGGCTAACTAAGTACTATAAGTATAAATTTTTTTGTCTGAATGCAGTGCGGTACTGAGCATCTATTTTTAACAATCCCTACTTTTTAAGTGGAAAAAAGAATAACAAGAGGAAGGTCTCACAAAATCCTTAAAAAATGAGTGCTCATTAAATGTTTATGCGTGTGCATGTATAATGAATAAAAGAAATTAATTAAAAAAAACGACTCTGTACTAAACTACAGCTTGATATGCTGTTTCAAATATAAGAAGTAGATGATAAAATTTTGCCTCAAAATACAAAAACCGATTAAAAAATGATGTTGTTTATGAGAACAGGGAGAAGGCTTTAATAATCACAAACATTGAATAGAAAAAATTCATAATCTTTTTATGGTTAAATGTTAATTTTATTAGTACATAAATAAAATAAGATAAGGATATCAAGCGTCAGACAGTTGATTAATAATTAAAAAAATTCCTAGATGCACTAATTACCACGGCTCAAAATAGAAAAAAACACATATCAACCTCTTGATAATAATATATTGTATTAAATATACGTCTACGAACGTGTATCATAGTAATATAGAGGCGTATAGCGCTTTTTTTACCTCATGCTAACCGAACCTCGAGTATCGGATGAAACGTTTGTAGTATAAACGATTTTCAATAGAATATCTTATTGAATCTAGTAGGTAGCATAACAGAATTGTATAATTACAATAATGTTTGATTCTATGATATTAAAATAAAAACTACTTTTATTATGGCACAGTCATAAAGAACATTAATTACTTGTGTCATGCATTATTTATATTATTTAATGTAGCTTTATAAAACTTAAAAATTTTTATGAATAAAATCAAACGTTCAATAACTCTATAGTTTTTTCTAATACTAAAATATCGATTTAGAGAACTAGAAACAACTTACTCCGCAATTTTTGAATCTATTGTTTAATTAATCATTTGTTTGTTTGTTACAGCTTTTGAACGAGTTTATCTCGTAATTCGACAATTAGTCAGTATGACACAACAAGCTCGTGCTGCTTTTCAATATGCTACATTAAATGTCTTTCAAATGTCATCTCGACAAACAAGTCAAACATCGTCGAATTTATCTCAGTCATCAAATTCTATTGCACTCGCTCAACTACAAGCAATGCAACAACCAAAATCATCATCAACTCATCGTATTGGTGGTTCTATGCGTGCAACACCTTAAAGAAGGAAAATTCTCTAAAATAAGAACCGGTGATGAATTGAGAAAAACAAAAATCAATTATAATCGAAAGATTTTTTTTTCTATTCTCAATAACATCTCGTTTTTTCTTTTGTATGAACTTATCACTTCTTTCATTTACTTCCCGACTTCAATGACAACAAAAAAGAAATATAGAAAAAATAAAACAAAAAAAGTATTTTTCTTTTTGTTTCTTATCTCTTCTCATCATAGTGAAATTGTTTTGTCTATTGTATATGTACGGAATCGAGATGTGCATTTTCTCTTCGAATTGTCCCTTATCTTTTATGTGTAATAAACGAAAATTAATGGTCTTTTTTTTTCCTAAATTTATTTCATCTTTCTTATTCCATGTTTATCGTTTATTATTATCAATGCTCTCTACAGTCGCACTACATCTTTTTCTTCTTCTTCTTTTTTTTGTAATAAAAACATAAGAAAATAGTAGATCCTTTGATGAAACGATATATACAACATAAGTTTTTTTGTTTTCTTTTTCTTTTAGTTAGGATATTGAATATCTGACATATATTTTATCAACACTTCTAAAAATCTTTGTGAGTATTTTATGTCGATAGTGTAAAAGTCTTGCTTGTATGTCACAATTCTCATGCTTTTATTGTCTCATGACCTTATGAATAAGTACTTTTATAGTCAGAAGAATTCATGTTATTGTATTATTGTCTGTAAAAAGTGTTATGAACACTTCATGATTTTCTCAGACGAGATATCTGCATGTTTTAGTTTATTATGCAGACTGTTCAATACCTTCAGGTATTTTGAAGAGACAAACAAAAATGATTATTTGACCTTTCTTTATTCGAATAGCGCAGTAGATAAAGATAGAATATGTCATCGATAATAAATTCTTTTCATATGCATATTTTAATGACGCAAGAAGAATGTTCAGTACAAACAACAAATTTTAAATTATATTATTGTATTTATAAAATATATTTTACTTCTAGGAATATTCTTTTTCTCTTATAATTAATCAAAACTAACTTGAATATTATTTAATCGAAAAAGAACTCGAGGATTTGATGAAATACTTTAAGTATAAGAGAAAAATGACAAAAATATTCTAATATAAACTCTTAGTATTAAGTACTTTAAGTCTACAAAGATGAAAAAGATGGATAGTAATTATTTTTTTTCATGCATAAAACAGATGTTGACTTCTTTTATTCCATCCTACAGTCTACATTTTTCTTAATAAAATAATTATAAGTTGATCATGCATGTTTATTCATGTGAATAGCCGGTAAAACATCGGCAGAGTACTACTCTAGACATTCATTTCAAATGTAGTTATAATATGAATAAAACTCTTGTCTTAAGGTAATATTCATTGTTACGAATAGAGTACATTTGTAAAAATAACTATCTTTCATGTTTACCAAATATTTTATTCATAGAATAATAATCGCAGTCTATTACTTTTCAGTTGATAAAGTGTTGTGACATGCTTTAGTTTTTCTTTTCTATATATCTATCTATTAAGATTATATTTGATAGATTGCTCATTTTAAAAAGAAAAGAAAAAATGAAATAATTTAGTTTTTATCTTTAGATTTTGTTGTTATATAGGTTTATGATGTTTGTGTTAAAAACATAATAACAATCAAAATAATAGTTCATATCAAAAATATATGCATGTCATCTCGATCATTAGATTCATGTTTAGTATGTGATGCAAAAGCTGTTGGAATTAATTTTGCTGTTCCAACATGTGCACCATGTAAAGCATTTTTTCGTCGAAATGCTGTTAAACTTGGCGTAAGTGTATTGTTGAAAAAAAGAAATTCTAGATTAATTTTTATTTTTTATTTTAGAGCCGTGATTATGTTTGTCAACAAGATGGTGATTGTCTGATAACATATAAATCTCGTCGTTTATGTAATTGTTGTCGGCTAGCAAAATGTTTTCGTGTTGGTATGCAAAAATCATTAATTCGATCAGAAGCTGAACGTGAAGCTAGGAAACAACTTGTTGAACAAAATCGAAAAAAACGTGTTCAACCTCCTCCTCGTGTGAAAACGTTAGAGCTGGTACGTTAAAAAGATTATTTATATAACAAATCCTTTTAAAAATATACTCATTTCTTATGTCATCTTGTATATAGGAAGGATTTGTAATAGGTGTCATATTCATAGATATAAATGAAATCTAAATAAACTTTTTATCATGTAAAAATCAGACACTCTTTTAATCATAATTAAATTAACTTGTCGAATAAATATTTTTAAGAATAGAAGAAGGATAGTATTTGACGTACCGTATATAAAGAAGAGGATTGGTCTTCGATTTAGTTGTAAATGGTCAGATCGGAACATTATCTTTAGATGTTTTTCTCTCAAATGAATACCACTACGACCGTTCTTCTTATGCTTTGTGCGGAATCATTGTTTCCCGTATTCTTGAACCTTTTCGATCATGTTGCTAATGAATGAGTTATGAGGATCATTTGTTTAGATTTTATGTAGTAATTAAGATTTCTTATTCATCATAAAACTTCTAGCCAGTATATATCTAAGTTTCATTTGTTAAAACAAAAAATTGAATATTATATTTTTGATTATTTTATAGATTCGACCATCAAACTTATTGCTTTTAACACATAGTCAATCAAAATCTTTATCTTTATCTGATCAAACTCTTCTTACAAATATTTCTGGAGCATATGAACGAACATGTATAGCAGCAACAAAAGTTACTTCTCCAGCGTTTCCTACTTCAAAACATGCACGTTTACACACATTTCTCAATGAATATACTGAACGTCAAAAGGCATTAGTTAGATATTTTAAACTTATACCAGAATTTGACAGAGTATCTATAAATGATAAAATACGTTTAATTAGAAATCATTTTTGTGTAACACTTACTATTAATGAAGCAACACTTTCTTCAAGTATATCACAACAATTAATCGATTCCGTGTCATTTTTATTCGATGCTAATATATCTGCTCATCTTGTTAAATGTATTACATTGATTCATTCTTATACATCTGATCGTACGTTACTTAAACTTCTTCTTATTGTTAAAAGTTTATCAAGTGGTATAAATAGATATCGGAATGATACAGATATGGATCGAATTTATGATAATACTTTAGAAATTTTTGCTGCACAAAATATTTATGTCGAATTATTATGGAAATATCTTTTATCACGTTTTCCATCGGAACTTCATGTTGTTAAGTTTTATAACAAACTCATTCAAGATTTAATGTTTACACAACGTGTTTGCTTCATGACTGAATCACATATAAATAATCGACCAAATGAAATACAACGAATGGAACCATTAATACAAAGTATGTGGCCAACATCAATCGGATTGAACAATTCAGATGATACAGATATTCACATAAAAAAAATTTCATAAATGTAAACAAACGCAATCTTGTACACCAGTATTTTTTAGAACACTTTTTAGTCATTATGATAAAAGACGAAGTGAATGAATATATTGTCCATTAATATACAGGACAATAGAAATCAAAATTTTCATTTATATATATTTCTATTGGAAATAAAATACGCATTCATTTAATGTAATTCATAGTAAATCAATATAGTATTGATGTCTATATTTTTTGGGTTCATGAAAATCTAAACCAACTTTTATTATACTTATATTTTATGCAGAAAACATTTTTTGTTTTATGAGGGTGTGGATTTAGATGTCAATAGAATCAGTAATCGGACTCATATCCACACCCTCAAGATGATTGAGACATAATAATGAACTCTAGATTCTTATTATAATTCAAAATAAATATTTTACATTGATTTGTTTGTTTATAATTTAAATCTGTAACAAGCTGCGTATCTTTCTCTGATGCTTGAGTAAAAAGAGTAATTTGGCATAATGTGTTATACCAAGATAACAAATGAAGACGAACTCATAAAACTAAGACTATTGGATAAAAGAAGAGGTTCATATATGAAGACTAAATCTATTAGTAGAAGTAATAAATATCTGTGATAGTACTGGTTTTACTCAAGTTAATCCTATTGTGAAAGAAATACCAAAAAGAGTGAGTAGGTGTGAACATAAAGTGGATAAGATACCCACACATCCACTTCCTTAAAAAAGATGAATCACTTGTTTAACATGATCTTTATTGCAAATTGTTCACAAATAACATGGCAAGTTTTCATCTCATTTGAATGCATTTGCATCCTTATTATGCAATGTAAAATCAGCTGATATAACCATTATACTCGGCTGTTAATCATTATCTATCTCATTTATATATGCATGCATTGTCGATGTGAATAATGCAAATAAGCTAAGTGTTACTACATCACTGGTACTTATTTCATTAAGTTCGGGACATATGTATAATATTCTGCTAACGGTAAAAAAGAGGAAGGTTAGGGTAAGATTTCCGTTGCCGCATATATTACTACTCACATGTTCTATTAGTGATGTAATATAAACTCTTACCACTTATTTGAGACTTTTAATCAAAAATTTATGATAAAATATTCTAGTTTTGAACAAATACTTGCGTTCCTTCGTTTTAGAGAAATAGAATCACTGTTAACACTAGAGAGTGTTAGTCTTAAGTTGGATTGTAACAATGATCCTTCCGTTTTCATCGCTTATTTTTCATATTTACATTCTTTATTACAAAGTAAAATAAAAATAACATAAGGATCTCTTATTTTTAAATGACAGTATTGGACATTGACAGCAAGAAGATTATAGTTTGGATTCCTATTACAGCTTATATATAATAAACGGTCTCGTAATGGTCGCATGCACCTTTTCCATCTTGACGTTCTCGAAGGGCGATTACCTAGTTGTGTAAGTCTTTTATATAAGCAATTTTCTCTGAAGCGTACAGTTGTAGAGCCACAATTGATAACAACATGCATTATCTGATCTTATGTAAGCTTCACAATGATCTCTTTAATATTTACGCTTCAGCTTGGTATTTATAAAGCACCGTTTCACTATCGCTATAACAGTGGTAACACTACGATAATTGAATATTAGTCTTGTATCAGAAATATCAATAATGTCTCATAAAAGTTTAGTCCATATTCGTTCGTGTGAGTAGTTTGGAGAACGCGTTGAAAGATGAAAGCTTATTCAAAATAACCTGAAATCGATAAATAAAAAAATAGATTAGTTATTTAGATATATTCATACCTAAACTTAAAATGGCAAGTCATAAAAGATAAAATAATTTGTATATACTGTTATTTGTGATGGTACCCTATTTTTCAGAAAATTCAATTTTAAATAAGTCGGGATTCGCATTACAAGTAAGTTGAAGTAATTCACGATACATTTATTCCACGTTAAATTTTTCTTTCCAAAATGTATTTAAAATAGCCATATAAGGGCTTATTTGGATTGAAGATGAATTGATTACAAGCGGTAAAAATATCACTACAATTATCTTGATCGATACCAAGAAAATCAGCAGAATAATACAAATGTGTAGATAATTATGAATTTGCTTAGTACTATATGTCTCTTTCTATCAGATCGATCATTTACTTATATTAGATTTATGTCAGCAAATAAATAAATTCTTTGATTCACTACACACGTGATAGTGCACATTATTTTTTCATTTTTGCTTTCTCTGTTCGTCTATTTCTTCTCTTTAGTCTTCACTAATTTCGATATTCGTTTATTCTCATAAATATTCTTAAGCAAGTTTTCAGTTTATTGACTACTGTGCAAAATACTCATTTAAATGGAATATGAACTTGTTTCATAGATCCTTTTGCGACATATCTTTCGCCTTAATTGAAAATAAAGTTATTAGATCACATTTTATTCACTCCAACAAAACTGTGTGAATGACCTTTTTTCCCAGGAAAATAATACTGTATTTATAATTCATAGTGAAATATATACTCAATTTTTTAATTGTTAATTCGTCTTAAGTTCCATTGTTACAAAGTAAACTAAATCATCATCTGAACAAATAAAATACAATACAATATAGATCTTAATAAACAATGAAAAAAATAAATTTTTAAGCAAAGTTCTTAAAAGATATTCTTTACAAATAAATCTTGCAAACTTATTTGTTTTATGAGCATCTGAGAAAAAGCTCAAAACATGTTATAACGATTGAATTATATCAGTCTATTAATATGTCTTACAAGATGAAATTGTATGCTAATAGATGTATATTTAATTCATTTTTCATAATTCTACAAAATGTAGTTGTTAAATACTAATCTTGTTTATTTTATTAGAATTATTTTTTCAAAAAAAATCAAAGAATTTTTAGTACTACAAATTTTGTTCGGATAATAAATTAAGAATATCATTTGCAATGACATTTGTTGCTCTATTTCCATCAATAACATGTAGATGAGAACTCGGTATATGATTTCGATAAATAAAATCAAGTCGATTACGAAATGCTTCTTGTTCAGCTAATTGTTTTTCTTCTACAGTAACAGGAATTGATACAGATCGTTGTGTGATACGTCGACATCGTTCAGCTTCATCTACATAAATATAAACAATTACAGCAGGTTGAACTAAATAATTAGGCCATGAAATATTTATTTGATTATTATCAATTATTTTTGCTTGTTGATAAGCAATTGTCGATGGCCAATATCGATCTAGAACAATTATTGTATCTTGTTGATTTTTTAATTCAAATGAAACAATTAAATTTCCTAGATTATAAAAAGCACGACGAATAGATTCTAGTTGTGCATCAAAATAAGATCGAAATGGCAGAAGTTCACCAGGTGGTGTTGATAATAAACGTGATTTTTGTCCACGTATATTTAATTGTTTCTGTAATTCAATTGCTAATGTCGATTTACCACAACCATCGAGACCTACAAAAAAAAAATAAAAATAACGATTAAATATTTCTCAATTTATCCTCTACCTTCAAGATCAATACAACGTGCTATAAATTGATCATAATGTAATTCATTATTTTGACCTTGAAGATCAGTAATCAATTGTTTTTCAATATTATTTAATATAGTTGAAAAAGTTTCATCATTGCACATAAAAGAAGGTTCATTACTAATAATATGATTGCGAAGTATTTGTAAAATTTCCATGTTTATATCTCAAATAAACATGGAATATTATATTTACATTCATCTTAAATACTTATTTTTTCCCAGACGTTTTT